GGTGCTGAAATGCAGAAAGCCACTGAGGCCTCCCTCCGATCACATGGAGTGAGTGAGGGTGACTGGCACCTCACATCCCGTAGGCTCTGAGACCTTCACCTAGTTCTTTATCTGTTTTGAGTCATGGACTCCTTTGTCAATTCAATGAGAATTATGGAGACTTTCTTCAGTTGTTTCAAAAGTACACACGTATATAATTCTCTGTTTAATTCTGGTCGGGTGGCTGGTGAGCACCAGCTAGGAACGCTGGCTGCAAGTGTATGCTGCCTCCTGGAGTGAAGGGGAGGTAGTCATTCGACACTGGAATCCAAACCACATTAAGGGAACAGAAAACAAATGCAAAGAAAACCCAGGTTCAAGTGCAGGTTTGAATTTTTATGAATAGTTTCAATGTGAGATAATTTTGTAAAACCTAGCACTTCATGTAGCTTTCCTTTCTTTCTTTTCTTTTTTTTCAAAATAACACAATTATGGTTTGATACCAAAGAACTGTTTGCCTTGACAGCAGTGATGGACCCCCACGAAGTCAGTAGACCAAAAGAAAACAGGACCGGAGCTCACGGTGACCACAGTATGTCCCCCCAGTTCTCATTCAGTGTTTGCTCTAGCCTGACGAATTCATGCAATTAAGCAAATAATCTTCACTCTGTTTTCAGTCTGAATGGAATATTGATTCCATTATCTTGGATTAATTACTGCAGAATAGACGAAATTATTCCTTCCTTGAGTGTGTTGGGGAGAGAACAAAACATCAGGCTAAATGTGCCTCAGCAAAGCCAGTAGCATAGGAAGCAGCTTAGAGATGCTCACCCCGTCTGCAGGTTCTCAATCAATACAACGCCCAGCCTCCTAAGTGCGCGGTTCCAACCACTGCGATTCTGTTACAGTTTCCCTCTCACGCCACACTATGAATTACTGGAGGCTAAGAAACGCGCCTTAATCACCTTAGATTCCCAGTTCCTGCCACACGTCTCAGCTGATATAGAACAGAAGTTCCATAAATGCATGCTAATGTATATTATATATTTCAATAGCATTACCTAGAAAAGAAATTTCTAGAATATTTGCTCATTTTCAGTTTTACCCCAAAGTTCTGTCAGATTGTCTTTTCTGTCAATTACCTTTTCAAATCCTTTGCCCATTTTTCTATTGGATTGTCTTTTTCTTGTCAACCTGTAGTCCTTGGTGTTTATATATTCTAAATGCTAGTCATTTGTCTATTCTGAGAATGATTTCTCCCAAATCTGTTCTTTGTTTTTTGACCTTGTATCTTATTTGCTTACATGCTTGAGGGCGATGCTAGATGACCTAGCAAGATTTGCAGAGGTTGTCTGAAAATAAATCTTGCATACCTTAGCCCAAGAGTGAGCCAAGGTTTCAAATGGATTGGCAAGGTCAGAACTCAGGACAGGACTTCTTCAAAGAAAGGTAAGCAAGTGCCGAATCCCCCTCCGCCCCTCCTAGTGGGGAGGAGCCCGAGCTGCCGCCCCGTTCTCAAGTTAGTGAGGATCTAGAAGAGCAACTGGAAAGGCTCGCAGTGTCCCTGCCTTAGGGAGCATGTGTGCGGGGGGATGAAGGGCCTACAGGCTGGAAACCACATCCCTTGGCCGCAGAACAGAGGGTGGGGTGAGAGGCATAAAGAGCTGCGCGCCCAGTGACAGCAGGCTAGAGGTTACAGGTGTGTGGCCCGAGACAAGGTGCGGGACCCGCAGCAGGACTGCCTAAAAGGATTGTGTAAAGGCCCCCGCCTTGGCTGCAAGCACATCACGGAATGAATGCCAAAACCTGGGCCCTGTGGGGCCACAGGCACGGGGTGCAAGGAGGGGGCCAAGGAAGAAGCCACCTTCCTCCCCCCTTCCCACTGTCAGCAGAAGCGGGCCCGTGACCGGCAGGCAGAGAAACCTGCATTTAAATGGAATTTGTAATTTTTTATTTTTATATCAGATTGGAGACACAATTGGTACTATTCTTATGACTGGAAGTGACAGGAGGAATCTTTAAAAAAGTATTTTAAAGGGGCCAGATAGCCGCTGAGAGTGATAATGACCTACCATGGATTCCTTCCCAGCGTGGGAACGACCCAGCCGATAGCGCGCTCGACCAGGGAACACGACCCTTGCGAGAGTCTAACGCCGGGGCCTCGTGTCCTGTGTCTGCACATGATGTGAGCCTGTGCTGTGATGTGTGACACGCACTAATAGTATACACACACAACAGAGGCTGACTAGGCCTTGAAAAGCAGAGCAACACTACACCAGCTACAACACGGTGAACCTCGAGGATATTATGCTGAGCAAGACAAGCGGTCACAAAGGGACAGACACCAGTTGGAGGTGTCTAGAATGTCAGCCTCAAAGACAAAGCAGAGGGGTGTTTGCAGGTACTGGGGGGTGGGGAGTGGAGAGCTTCTTCATGGCTACAGAACCACAACTCTGCAAGATGAGAGAGCTTTGGAGAAGGAGGTGGGACAAAAAATTTGAATGTATTTCACTACTGAGGGGTGCACTTAAATATGGTTAAAATGGTAAAATTTACAGATTATGTAACACATAAAAATTCCAATGAAGTTTTAACTCAATTGGAAATAAAGTCATCCAAACAGGGCCTCCCTGGTGGTGCAAGTCTTAAGGCTTAAGTCTCAGCACTATGCAGCATGAGTTTGATCCCCAGCAAGGGAGCTACCCACATGGTGCAGCAGACCTCTTGTGACTCCCCTGCTTCTCTCCTCAGCAGTATATTTTCAGTCGATCTGTCTGTTCTGTTCCCCACTCTGTCTCTGGTGAATCCTCTCAACCCCCCTGAAAATCTGGCCTGTACCCCAACTCTTGCATGCATAAAAAATAAATCTTTATAAAAAATCATCCAAATATAAGTACATTAAATAAAAAGTAAATTTAATCTTCACTTTTCATGCAGTAATAATGACAACGCAGAATGGCTGGGTTGTACCACGTTAGGTTTCTTGCCAAGACCTGACCTGCAGTCTCATGGAATCCTCATTTTGAACCCATGCAGCAATGCTATTAAAAGCCCTGTTACCATAAGGACATTAAGCCACAGAAGGGTTAATTACCATAAGATCATACAACTTAAATGGATGAGGCCGATACTCTGATTCGAGAGCAAACCCTTTAAACCCTCTGGGACTGGACAGATTTCATTGTTACTAAACTCTCCCCACTTACAGCCTTAGAAAAGATGATTGAAATCATTAGCCTTATCACTGATACTGGTTTACAAAGCATTTTTACATTTGATACTACTAATTAAAATATCGGTCTATGTGCTGCCAAACCAAACACTACTTGTTAAAACACTGGAATGTCAGTGTTCTATCAAAAGAGGAGGCTGAGCCCTAGAGAAGTTATTAGGTAAGTAGCCTCAGGTCAGATGACCACAGCTTCTCGCTCTGGGTCCCCGGCAGCCCATCTATACTCAAACCTCATCTCATCGCACATCTCATTTTTCAAATGAGAATGCATACAAGAGACAGGCCCAGAGAGGCTGACAGCTTTTCCAAAGTCACACAGAGAGTTAGCATGTTCATTTATATCATCAGCATTTACCTTTTAAGATACTGTGCCACGATAACAGATATTCTATAAATATGCATTTGACTAAGTCAGGGTTGGTGCGGAGGCAGGGAGCTCTGTCAGCATATAAGAGCACACTCTTTTAGAAACTTATTTGTGGAGCTGATGCATTAGAAACACCACTTCACACAATCATCCAGCTTTTCAGAGACTGCCCTTACCTGGCCTCTTTGTCCATTAGCGCGACAATTAAGCCGTGATCAATGGAGCAAATCCATTTAGACAGCACATCTAGCCACTCACGGTGGACTTGCAGCAAAGTACACAGAGCTGGACAACACAGACCTTTGAGGAATGACCACATAAATCCTCTTCTGGTCCTGACTGCGTGTCTAGAAGGAATTCTAAAACAGTCACAACGACCCCAAGTGAACTTCGTCTGATCCTAAAAGTGCAGACAATGTTGTTTTTGAAGACCTAAGTTCTTCGTCCGACAGATTCTTTTCTAGTAAAATAATTCATTTCTGGGTTTGATATAAGGCCGACAACGGTGTGAAGAAGCTACGCTAGACTAGGTCTTAAGTGTGTGTGTGTGGTGAGCGGGAATTGCTCATCGGCAAGTGAGTATCTGGCCGATATTTCCCAGGAGCCACGTTAAGGCATCTTTCCAGAAATCTGTGTTTCTCTGTTCCTTGTTTTCTCGCAGCCTTAACATGGTGTGTGGGTTGGGGTCAGCATTGACCATGCAATGGCAGTGGCCCTTCCTCTCTTTCTGGCCAAAATATCCAACAAGAGCCAGGGAAGCAGGTGCGACAAAGCAGAGTTTGAAAGTGGCAGAAAGTTTGAGGTTCCGCCAATGAAAAGTCCAAGCCTGTTGGTTGGGCCACAAAAACGCACTCAGTCTCGAGGAAGAGCATACTGATTTAATTTCAAGTTACTAATAGTGTTGGTACTGCCAATAATGGCGGACAGTAAAGGAGTGTGTTCACTCATGAAATTATACACCCCTCTAGTGTACTACACGAGGTCTGTTCTGTACCCCACACACCCCCAAGCTCTGAGAGACACGTCTTGTGGTAGATTCTCATTAGATTTCAGCTGAATGAATAGTCCCATTTTGTTTTCACAATAACCCTATACACCTTGTCATAATATCGTTATCACCATTTTAAAGAAGAGAAAACTGAGGTTTGGGTCATTAAAATGTGTCACTCAGTCAGCAAGCATCACAGCTTATATGCAATCCGACAAACACCTGACATCAAAATCTATGGTTCAACCACAACATCATTTCACTAGTTTAGACCGGATCACAGGATTTCGCCAAGCCTGAGCCCACCTATGCAAGTGGGCCTAAGAAAGTATGTTTCAAGTAAGCATGGATACCACTCTGTTCCGGTCATCAGCTTTTACATTTCTTTAATAGTATACCACAAATGAATTGGAAAAAAAAAAAAAATGACTCACCCACAACTCCTTCTTCGCCAACCAATTTCAAGGCAATTTTATCAGCCAGCACGGAGGAGTTGCCATGTGCAATGTTGGCGAAGGGGCCGGCATGCACGAACACGGGCGTCCCCTGGGGGAGCAGAAAGAGATCAAAACCCTCAGCAAGCGAAAGAAAGTAAACCCAGCCCAAGTTGGGGCAAACACGGTGGGTGGAGCAGACACCCCTAAGCCACTCTGCCTTTATTAATACTGCATATTTAACTCACAAATTCTCTCAAAGAATGTTAAAACAGGGGGCCCTCCCTGGTGCCCTAGGGGTTAAGTCTCAGCACTATGACCGCGATGGCCTGAGTTCAATCCCCGGCCAGGGAGCTGACCCACAGGGTGCAGCAGACCTCTCCTGTCTCCCCGCTGCTTCCCTCCGCAGTGGATTTCAGTCAGTCTGCCTGTTCTGCTCCCCACTCTGTCTCTGGGGAATCCTCTCACCCCCTGCACTTCTGGTCTGCACCCCAGTTCTTCTACACAAAAATATAAACACACAAATAAATAAAAAAGATTGTTAAAACACTCTCTGGGAAGGGACCAAATTCCTTACATATCCCAGAAGAGTGTTACAGTCTACATTTAATGCTAAACCAAAGAAAAAAGGCTACACAAATCAGGTTATTTCCTACTTTTTTGATAAGCTGCTTTAGGGACAGACCTTGAAATAAATAAGTTACCTTCTTTCATATTACTTTGACTTTATTTTAAAAGAGAATGGAATTAGAGGCTGATGGTCTACTCGCTTACTTTTTTTTTTAAAGATTTATTTATTTATTTATACAAGCACTGGGTACAGTCAGAAGCGCGGGAGGGTGAGAGAATTCACCAGAGCCAGAGCGGGGAGCAGAGCAGGCAGAAGGACCGAAGTACACTGCTGAGGGGAGCAGCGGGCGGCAGGAGAGGTCTGCGTGCCATGTGGGACCCTCACCGGTGGCCGGGGAGCAGCCGGGGATCGAAACGGTGCTGTAAAGGCTGCGGGCAGCTTCGCAGCCCAGCCCTCAACCACTGCGCCACCGGGGAGGCCCCATATAAACTTGTTATTCTGACATTTAAAAATTCTTCTCAAGTCTTTCTCATTGCTAAGTTGTCACAGGTGTTAAAGGTCTGGTCACTGTTAAGTCAACAACAGCAAGGGTAAATTTCCCTTATGGTAAAACGTTAGGGTAATCGTTACTAGAAAGACAAAACAAAACAGTAAGGGAATTATCAAAAACTTCAGGTTTTAATTCTTCAAGGAAATACGACGTCTATGTATTCATTCCCAGTGTCATCCCTATACCCGTTCTGTTCCTTTATCAGTGAGAAGAGACCGTGGCCCTGGCTGTCAGAGTTAATTTACATGCATTACAGCGCCCAGGTTTCATTCAGAGCCCAGCGAGCGCCACTAGGGTCTGTGTCTGAAACCCCGGCCCCACCTGTGAAAATACAGGCAGCCCTTCTGCTGACATGGAGTGAAGAGCGGTGGGGGAGGCTGGGAGCCATGCAAAGTTCCCTCGCACCATGACGGGCTGTGACAAACATGACTCAAAGGGAAAGCTGAACAAAAGCAGGAAGAAAGAAGTAAAAGAAAAATCACCGGAGGATGAAAAAGACAGCGTTTATCCAAGCCACTCTGTGAATACTCTATTTCCTCCCCCCACGTCCTCAGGAGGGAGAAAACCTGGGTCTTGCAAAGGTCATACAAATGTAGGTGGAAATGAAGCTGGGGCTTTGAAGCCCAAACGCGTGTTCATGCATATGTAGACTGTAAGTGCGTGTCGGGTGTCTAGACCGTCACCTGTCTGCCAGCTATGATCTCTCACTTTCACCCAGACAAAGCTCTTCAGTGCTCTAAAGAAAAGAGTATCTCAAAGACACCCCCGTGTCCATCCCTTGCTAACCTTGTCAGTGCTAGACTATGGCTGCCTGGGAAAGTAGCAGAGTCAGGCCCATTTAGTTGAGTCAAGGTCACAGGCCCATCCCTGGGCTGGCCATCTGGCTGAGAAGCACCGGGCACTGGTCTCCAGAGGGGACAGGTGTGGCTGTGCTGGTGAGAACTGCCATCAGCACTAGATCAGCGGCATCTGAACTGAACATTAAAGGTCACACGAGGGGCTGATCGCTGTAGCAGTCCTGGAGCCCTGGTTTCGGAATACCTGGCTTGCAGTTTGAATAGAAAAATTCTTAGAATGTCATTGTTAGACTTTCGAACACAGACGCCCAGCTCAAACACTGAACTGATGTTTCTGGAGTAGGATGCTGAAGGAGGTACACCGACTTTAATACTTGGTCTAGAAATGCTGTGACTAGTCGAAAGTCCTGAGAATAGCGACCTGGAAATTGATATTTTATGACATTTCTTAGCATTTAATGAGTGCTTTGCTTGGGAAAAACAAACCAAAAAACCCCCAAATTTAATGATTACGGGAGGTTAAAGAAGGTCATAAGAAAGACAAAAGAGAAGCATTATGTCAACAAGGCCACAAGACTCACTGAGTGATGGGCACACCTTGATTTCCTACTTGGGTCAATTAGCACTTCGTCAGCCAGTGTGTGAGTTGTATCAAAGCTCCCACAAACACTTCACTTTTCCCTGCATGACCAAGGAGTCACCCTGATGTCCTTGGGCCCAGGCTGGCTGGAAGTGCTCACGCTGTGTGGTGATGCATGGGCAGCCCAGCTAATACGCACTCAGGCAACAGTTTCTATAAAGAGAAAATCACTTACTTCCAGGGTCTGCATCAGATTTGGTTTTATTGCATCTTTCATCAAAACTGTCAAAGCACCTGTCACCCCCTAAAAAAGAGGAAAAAGTGACTTGGTTAGATTGACAGAAGCTCATTCCGCAAGCAAAAAGCTCAACCCAGTAGGAAGTGGGCCAAAGAATGCTACGAAAGTTCACCTTTAATTTGAAATCCCTTCCCCCTTCTCTAAAGACACTGAGCAAGTGGCTTCCAACATATGTCAGCAATTGGAAGACCACACTATGAGCAAAGGCAAGTGAGTGCAGCTCTGAAAAAATTAAAAAGGTATGCAGTAGATCTTCACAGATGAGACACTTTAGGACTGGAAAGTATGGATGGAGTCTTCCAAGGGCATAAGAACCAATCATCTTATAAGACACTTTTAGAGGCCACCTACTTCCAATGGCACCGTAAGCTTCTGGGGTGGACACACTCACCAAATCTTCTGCTGTCACAGGCTGTCCATTTTTGTCACTGGCCACTACCATTCTTCCCAGCCGCTCCTTCATGTCTGCAAGGCTGTCGGTCAGGGCCAGCACCGCCATGATTTCACTGGCCACTGCAATGTCGAACTGGGCCTGCAACAGCCAAAGCCAAGGCACTGGTCAGTGACTGCACCACATGGATGGCCACTTCCACAGGCAGGCCCATGGCAGCAATTAAGGTCTTGCGGGCCTGGGGGACTGTCTGGATAGGTCACTGTCATGTGCACAAGTTTTCTAGACACTAGTGTCTAGAGCCAGGCTGGTCCTGTGCTTGGTTCTGGTAAGGCAGCCTCCCCAGGGTGCCACATTCTGCCTCCATGTGCTCAGCTGACCCTGCCAAGCCACCTGTTCCATCTGCTCCTGCACTCTGGGGTCTGCTTTTGCAGCATATCCTGGACATGTGACCAGCAGTGATTACCTGTCTGATAAAAGTGTCCACTACTTGGGGAGGCTTGGAGGACGGAGTGTGAAGCCTGGTCAATAGTTACTGGCTAAATAAATGAACTGTCTACTGACTACTCTGCTGCCCAGCACAAAGGTGAGGTGCAGACAGTGAATGAAGATGGCCCTGAAGCAGGCTTCCCAGGGCTAGACCTCAGCACAGCAGTGAGGGCTTCCCAGCGTGTGGCAGCCCAGTCAAAGGTGACAGAGTCAATTCTCAGCTGTCCACGAGCACTTGGCCCCATCAGACCTGGCAGTGAATGTGGGGAGAAGCCACCCTCTGCGAAGTGTTCCTTCCGTGGCCCGCACTTGGCTCTGACTCCAGGCTGCACACAGTCCAACAAGAACCGAGAGAGGTGGGGAACATGCGCTTCCTCCTCCTCATAATTCAGCTATTGGACAAAACCACTTCATTATGCTCCAGCTGAGTTCTCATGCCCCAAGGGGCATGTGAGCCAGACAAGTTCAAGTTTATAGAGAGAAAATAGCCATTCCTGGTGGAATCACCTAATGAGACATTTTATTGTCCATTTCCGTCACTGACAAGAAAGGAAATGAAGGAAATAAGGAGCTTTCTGGTCACTTTCTAGTTGAGATTTCATTGATTTAGTGAAAAAAATATTAACTAAAAGTCAGAATCAACTACATTCAATTATTGCACTGTCAATATAACCTATTCTAAGCATACGTGATTTTTCATTATATATCTAGGATATTGTATACCACTGTTCAATTGCAAGAGCACATATAAAAAATAACTAAAAATATCCAGACTTTCTATGCAAAACGTAGTCCTAAAATTTAACTACATAAGTAGTAAGAACTTACAACACACATATATTTGTAATTAAAACAATTCCACAATTTTGCATCTTAAAGCAACATCAAAAGAGAAACAAATTGGGTCAATTTAAATATAATGATCATTAATTCTGTTGATTGAATGATATACCTGATAGAGGGCTATTCATTTTTATTTTGCAAGAAAATACTTCCAAATAATATAAAGGAATAACCAAGATTGTGTCTATTGTTTATCACAAATTTAAACAGATAAGCAATGTGGGCAAGGTTGGTGAGTCAATATGGCATTTCCAGAAATTTTCATCTATGTGTATATTACATGTATGTGTAAAGGCATCTGCATTGGAACAAAGTCATAATATAAAAATCAGGTGCTATAGTCCAACAAAGTATCAGAAAGAAAAATTAAGAAAACAATTCCTTTATATATATATAAGAAAGAATACCAAGGAATAAATTTAACCAAGCAGTGAAGAACCCTATATAAGAAAACTAAAGGACAGTGAAGACAGCAACTGAAGACACAAAGAAATGGAAAGTTACTCTATGCTTGGGGACCGGAGGGATATTTTTAAAGTATTGGTATCACATAAAGCAATCTACTGATTCAATATAATACCTATCAAAAAACCAATGACATTTTTCACAGAAGTAAAACAATCTTAAAATTTATATGGAACCACAAAAGATATTTGGTAACAAAGCAATAATGAGGTAGGGAGGCATCACCCTACCTCAATTTCAAACTATATTACAAAACTAGAGTAATCAAAATGGCAAGGCATTGGTTTAAATACAGGAACATAGATGACTGGAATAGAATACAAGCATATATAGTCACTGATTTATGACAAAAAGAGCAAGAAAATACACAGGGAAACAGTTTCTTCAATAAACAATGCTGAGAAAACTGGATAACCAATATACAAAAAAAAAAAAAAGAGAAACTGGAGCACTATCTTACACTACACTCAAAAATTAACTCAAAATTAACTAGAAACTTGAACATAAGACCTGAATCTATAAAACACCTAGAAGGAAACAGGTGCTAAGTGTCTTCAAATCTGTCTTCTCTATTCTGACCCAAGGGCAAGGGTAACAAAAACAAAAATAAATGGGTCTAGTCAAATGAAAGGCTTTATACAGCCACAGAAATTAGCAACAAAACAAAAAGACAACCTACTGAATAGGAGAAGACATGTGCAAATTGTGTGTTTCATAAAGGGTTAATATTCAAAATATACAAAGAAATCATACAACTCAATGGCAAACAAAGCAATCTAATTTTTAAAATGGGCAGATGAAGTGAATTAACATTTTCCAACAGTCACACAAAAAGATGTAACATCACTAATCATTCAGGAAAAGCAAATGCAAATCAAAACCACCAGGAGACATTACCTCACTCCTGTCACAAAGACTATTATCAAAAAGACAAAACATAAGTGTTGGTGAGGATGTGGAGAAAAGGGAAACTTCCTTTGTGTGCTGGTGGTGCAGCCACTATGGAAAACTGTGTGGAGAGTCTTTCAAAAAATGAAAATTAGAACTATAATATAGTCGAGTATTTCTACTTCTGTTATTTACCCAAAGAAAAATACTGATTTGAAAAGATATGCATCTCCATGTTCATTGCAGTATTATTTACAAAGTTGGAGTATGGAACTTTGTATACTTAAGATATGGAAACAACCTAATATCCAGCAATGGACAAAGAAATAAAGATGAGCTCTATATACACTATGGAATACTACTCAGTGATGAAAAAGAATGAAACCTTGCCGTTTGTGACAACAAGGATAGATCTTCAAGGTATTCTACTAAATGTAATGGCAGAGTCAAAGACTAAATGGTTCATTTATGTGTGGACTCTAAAGCCACAAAACAAAACCCAAAACCTCAGCCTATATCCACATGAAGAGGGTGGGACATGGGTGATGCTGGCTTCCCATTCCCTGTCACTCACAGGGCCAGTTAGTCTTTACGGTGCTGTCTTGCAGCTGACAAAAGGCTACACTTTCCTAAAAGTGTCACATTATGCGGACTTGTTTTTCAAAAAGCAGGACACTTTCGCTGTTAGGAGGCACATACAAATCAAATCTGTGACCGTGGGGTGAGGGCCGCCCCAGGGCTGAATGGTGCACACCAGGCATTGGCCTCAGATGCACGCAGGCTTCCAGGGTTCCACAAAGTGTATTCTGGCTGTGGCTCGAACAGGTGTCACGGGAAGACAACTGTCCACTAGCAGCGTGGGAGCTGTCCCCAACCACCCCCCCTGAAGGGTATGTGGGCCCTCTCCCGTTTCTAAGAAGTCTACCGTCTCTTGTATCTGTTTTTAGAGACTCCCCTAAAACAATCCTGCCATATTTTGCACTGTGCTCGCCACTGCTGGAATGCCATCTTCCTACTTTTCAGAAGCTTCCCAAAATGATAAGCCAGTCAGTCAGGTTTCCTAGCCTGCATGTTGGCTGAGGACATGAGACCCGCCATGATGCGAGGTCCAGGCTTTGAAGGGGGAGGTGAGGTGCCCGGGCTTCTCTTGTCTCCTTGATCCATATTCAAAATATTTCAAAGGGCCCAAAAGTCAACTTACTGAGAGGACTGAATACTACAGTGAAAATGATATTTTTCAACTAATAAAAACTTAACAATGCAAAGGCCATAAATCTAAAATAGTCTTAAAATAAAAAGTTTATTACCAAAGAAGAATTTTAGAGGCCTACTGTGTCTGGATGAAAAATCATGAATTCACATTTCCTAAGCACCATAAAAATGAAGGTTGGTGTTATAATTTATCTTCCACATTTTCTGGATTTGGGTAGGAAGACCTCCACCTTGAAACCTTAGGCTAACTAGGTGTTTGTTCTTCGGTTTCTGAAATTTGAATGATGTATCTGAGATCTTGATTTTTCAGTTAAGCAGATGTAGTAAGAAATGGGCGGGTTTCCACTAAAATAGGTAAAAATTTCTATCCAAGGGTCAACCAGGATGGTTCTTCCCAGAAACACAATTACAATCTCAAGAAAAGGATGGTGAGCTGCTACTGGAGGGCTTCTGTCTCCTGCTTCTCTCACTGTTTGCTCAGTAACTGGAAATGGACATGGTGACATGACGTAGACACACCAGTCACCGCGGCTCGAGGAGTGAGAAAAGCAGGCACCCAGCCTCTGGAACAGTCTAAACTAAGAATAGAGCCAAGAAGAAAAGTCACTTACCTCTCGGCAGTACCCTTTCTCCGAGTCTGCCTGCCCAATTGTCATTTTCCGCAGAAAGCGGTCATTCGTATCCAATACTGAAAGAGAAGAGCAGATTAGTCAGTCAGTGTGGGTCGCCCTCCCAGTGCATGACAGCACTGTTCTGAGAGCTGAGGAAGTGGTGGAGCTGTCTTTCAATGGGAGGACAAAGAGGTGGCTCAAACAGAATAAAAATATCAGTAAGTGATTAAGTGCCAGTAAGGAAAACCATTTTTGAAGCAGTAACTTTTGTAATAAGACCCAAGGCAAGAGGAAGTCAATTCAGCTTCTTAAAATGTCCAACACTAAACAACCAGATGATCCAGAAATTTCACTATTAGGTCTATAGCCAGTAGAATAAAAATCCAGGACTCAAACAGATATTTGCATACCCATGCTCACAGCAGCAATACTGGCAATAGCCAAAATGTGGAAACAAACAAGTGCCTATCAACAGACAAAATTATAAACAAAAAGTGGTGCATACATCTAATGGATTATACAGCCACAAAAAGAACAGATTTCTGATATGGGGCAACAGAGATGATTGTTGAAAACAAGATGCAAACTGAAATAAGCCAGATACAGAGGACGGTGTGTATGATTCCACTTACGCATGACGTACCTAGAATAGGTAAATTCATAGACAGAAAGTTAAATCGTGGTTACCAGGGGCTAAGGGGAGAAGCGGAGTTATTGTTTAATTGGTAAGTTTCCTTGGGGATGATGGAAAAGATTTTGGGTATAGGTAGTGGTGATGGGGCAGCCATGGCAAACCCTCTGAATATTTCATGCCATGGATGGCTCACTTAGGAATGGCTAAAATGATATATTTTGTACATTTTACCATAATAAAAAAAAATAACTAAATAAAACAGAATGGTGGGAGGAAGGGGTGGGGGGACCAATTCGATGGTGATTAGAGCAGGCGACAATCTCTTTATTTCCCTTCCTTGGCTTTTTCCAGTTGCACAGATTCACACTGTCTTCGTGAAAACTTAATTTGATTGAGTGAAAACTAAATTTACAGTGCTGGGAAGCAAAGCCAGAACACAGACCTCACCAATCATTTATGTGGCATCAAACAACAAGTTGTCCACACCGGCAACACAGATCCACTTTACTAAATGTAGACTAGGTTACTGACAAAAATAGTGACAGGAAATATATATTTGGGAACTACAAGCATCTGTAGGATGGAAAATGTTAACCTTTCTCTCACATACAAAGCACTGGAGGCTGATCGCCTTGCGCAGACTGCTGTCTTCCGACTCAGGGCTATCCGTCTCTTTTTCTCTACCCATGTAATTCTCTCTCTCACAAACACACACACACACACACACACACACACACACACACACACACACACACACAGAGACATGCTAACACCCTCAAACAATACTCATCAAACACATATAAACCTTTATGGCTTTAAGATACAGACAGAGTGCTAACATATATATGATAGACAGACAGACAGATTGACAGAAACAAGTGCTTTTAAGTATTCCCAGGACCACAGGGCAAAATCATGTAAAGTAAAAGTATTCCCTTCTCATTGTGTGTAATACACACAATCTAGGTATTAAAATTGATCTTTTTATTGGAAATTCAGCTGGTTTAAATTTAACAAGGAGAACACAAACAGACAAAATTTTTAAAAAACGTTGGCAAAATCATCTATAATCAGCAGCATCCAACCTGCCTGGACCCGGGCCCCGGCAGAGCAGGCATCTCAAACAAAACACAGCGTGCTGCGGACGCCCGGCAGGAGACGTGAGGAATGCCAGGGACACACAGGTGAAGAGAGAGACTAGGATGCAAACTGAGGCCGGTGCACATAGTCCTGGCCTCTATGATTGAGCCAAAGGTGGAGCAGCAAACTGTTCTTTCCGGGAATAAAGCTGAGGGCCAGCTTTGTGCTAGGCCCCACGCTAGAGGGATGGGCCACAGACAAACTAGTGCCTTTCATCTGGGCGTTTACAGGTGAAGGGGAGACACGGAGAGTTTGGCTAATTTGGAGCAGACTGATCTGTCTAATTCTTGGCTCTAAATGGCCCCTCCAGTGCTGTGGTGCTGACCAGAGTTTTGAGCCAATCCCAGAGTGTGTCAATCTGCTTGTTAAATCACCAGATCAGGACACAGGGATGACCCAGGGCTCTTAGCAGAACTGCACTGGTCCCTGCAAGGTGCTGGGATCACCCACTTCTGGACAGAGAAGGGATGCCCCAGGGAGGTCTGGGGAAGGGGCCCTCTGAGGCCTGGGGTTTCTGAAGCTCCCAGAGGTCAGGGCTTGCCGTCCAGAAGCAAAATGGCCCAGGGCACTGCTGCTTCTGCTTGTGTGTGTCCTGGATAATCCACGAAGCCTGGAGAAGGGGAGGCATGGGATGAGGGAACTCCCTGTCAGATGCCTTAGCAGGCTGGAGAACAAGGGGGTGACAGCACCCATATAATGGGCAGATGAGTGCAGCATTTTCCAGAGTCACACAGCTCGTAAGCGTGAGCCCCAAGACCCGCTCCACCTTGGGCTTGTGGGAAAACACTAAATTCTGAATGAACGGGTTGAATGGATTCTCATGAGGGCAGCATGGTGAAGGGGTGAGGCTCAGCTGTGGGGGGATATAGGCAAGAAGAAGGGGTGGGTACGGCGAGGGTGGGCAGAAGGACAGAGGCAGGCCGACCGGTAGGAAACCAGCAGGGAGTAGAGGCAGGTGCAGCCATGTGGCCAAGCTGTGTGAGGGCGGATTCCCACACGGGGTGGGCGCAGGTCTACCCCCTAGGCCGGGGCTTCTCAGCAAGGGCTGGGACAGCATCTCCATAAAATGCACCTAACGAATTGGGGGGTAGAAATGGCATTAAGAAGATATCTTAAGAGGGAAGTGCAGTAAATTAGGCATCTGATAAAAATGCTCTGGAAGGAGACAGAAAAAGGAAGGAGGCAGGTCTAAGAAGCACAGGAGCCGACACCACCCAACACCACACAGCCCTGAGCCTGTGGGGTCACGCAGGCACGTCCACGGCCATGTCCAAGAGCTGAGAGGATGCGCTCGGGCCCAGCGGGAAGTTAGCAACAGGGTGGAGGCTCCATCCCCACATGTGCTGCTCTGCCCTGCTGCCTCGCCCCTGCAGAGGTGGTGCAGGAGGAGGAGGCAGCAGGGATGCAGGCTGGAGGCCGGCAGCTGCATTTGAAGGGTTAGAGAAACGTACTAGATGCAGAGAAAAAAATTCCACTGAGAATATAATGCGCCTGGAGCACCTGGTCAAGGAGTGAAAGGAGTAAGGACAGTGGGGAGAAAAGACATCAGAACATCAAAGGAGACAGACTTCACTTTTTCTAAATATAGGAAAAGAGATCAGAGAAGAGAGACCCAGAGGAAAAAAGGTTCCCGCCAATTCTAGAAGAGCTGGAGTGGATGGGACTTAGCCCAGAAGGAGCAGTTGGCTTAAGAGATGAAGACATTTTTTCCTGAGGAGGTGAGGATGGTCAGTTTCTGAGCTACATGGCGGACTCATGAATCCGAAGCTGGGAGACAATGGGATGAAACAAAATGGACATTTGTGAAACTGATTCAAGAGCTTCACCTGGAACCTACAGGACCCACCCAACTGGGCGCCCAGCACCCACCTCTCTGCCACGTGATGGTGGAGGGGTCGATGTTGAGCCGGGAGAATTTACTGATCTCCTCTTCTGTCAGTGAACTCGGATCAGTCTTTTTTATTCCCAGTTTCTAATGATCAAGAAGAAAACGCAGTAAGTTTTAGAATGAACAGAAAGCAAAATGTAACCCAAATCACCCCTCTCATTTTCTCCATGGCTAATAATGAAGTCTTAAAATACTGAACTAATCCTCATTTGAAACATTAACAATAAAACGAAAAGTCCATTAAACAGACACTTCGCCAAAGACAGAGAGGGCAGATGAGCACAGGGTAAGATGCCCGATGCCAGATGTCATCAGGGAAATGCTAAAGAAAATGAAAGGCACCAATATGCCCCCATGGAATGACTGACAACAGCAAGTGCTGGCGAGGATGTGGCACAACAGGAGTTTCATTCAGTGGTGGTGGGTACAGCCATTTAGGGGACAGCCTGGCAGCTTCTTACAAAACTAAATGTACTCGCCCATTTAATCTAGCAAATGTCAGCCATGCATGTATGCAAAGGAGTTTAAAAATGTATGTTCACGTGAAAACCTGCACATGGATATTTACAGCAGTTTTATTCAACATGGCCCGAACTTGAAGCAACCACCATGTCCTTGCCAGGTGAATGAATAAAAAAACTATGATTTATTGAAACAAGATATTCTTGAGCGCTAAAAGGAAAAGAGCTATGGCGTTATGAAAAGACATAAAGGAAACTTAAATGCATACTCCTAAGTAAAAGAAATCAGTCTAAAAAGGCTACAGACTGTGGGCCTCCCCGGTGGCGCAGCGGTTGAGCGCTGGGTTGCGAAGCTGCCCGCAGCCTCTGCGGCGCCGGTTCGATCCCCGGCTGCTCCCCGGCCACCGGAGGAGGGTCCCGCATGGCGCGCAGACCTCTCCTGCCGCCCGCTGCTCCCCTCAGCAGTGTCCTTCGGTCCTTCTGCCTGCTCTGCTCCCCGCTCTGGCTCTGGTGAATTCTCACCCTCCTGCGCTTCTGACTGTACCCAGTGCTTGTATAAACAAACAAACAAACAAATAAATAAATAAATGAAAAAAAAAAAAAAAAAGGGCTACAGACTGTATGATTCCAACTGCAAGACATTCTGGAAAAGACAAAACTATGGAGACAATAACAGAATGAGTGGCTGACGGGAGTTATGGGTGAGGAGATGAAAACCGAGAACACTGAGGATGCTTAGGGCAGTGAAACTGCTCCGCATGGTACTATCGTGGTGGATCGATGTCATTATTCATTTGTCCAAAGGCCAAGAATGTACAACCAAACCGTGAACCAAACCGTGAACTACGAACTTTGGGTGATCATGATGTATCAGAGCAGCTTCAGGAACGGTAGCAACCACTCACGCTCTAGTAGAAGATGCTGACAGTGGGGAAGGCTGTATATATTTGGGGTTGGCGGCACAGGGGACATTTCTGTACCTGTTACCCAATTTTATTGTGAGCTTAAAACCGCTCTTCAAAAAAGAAAGTCTATTAAAAAAGCTGAAAAACAAAACAAATCTGAGCAAGAAAAATGGAGTTCAGACCAAGTCATATACCTACACACAGGCACGCTATGATCACACGTGGCTTCATCTCGCTTTGCAGAGATGCCAGTTTTCACGAACTGAAGGTCTGTGGGCGCCCAACATTGAGCTACTCCATCGGCACTATTTTTCCAACAGCCTGTGCTCACGCTGTGGCTGTGTCATTTTTTTGTATACATGCTGTTGCACACTTAGTAAATGATAGCAGGGTGTAAACATAACTGCAATATTTACTGGGAAACCGACAAGTCATGTGACCCGCTTTATTGTGGTACTCTCTTTATCGGGGTGGTCTGGAATCAGACCTGCAGTATCTCCAAGATGGGTTTGTATCTGGTCTAAGTGGAAGTCACTGGGATTTGTTACACACCCTTAAAATGACAGATCTGAAAATGCAGTGCAGCTGGCAGTGCACAAAGAAAAGGCGCCTGTCCAGGCTGGGCTCCTGGGCAGCCCCCCTGCCTCCCTGAGCTGGGCCAGTAGGCACTTAACTGCTGCCTGCATCATCACTGCTGCGTTTCGGTAGTTCTTCTTTGTAAATACCCACACTGATCATTCATGCAAAGTCTCTGTCTGTGCTTTCAAAACAAACTATCTCTAATTCACTGAGGAAATAACATGGAAACTTGCAATCCATCCATTTCTATAAAGGAAACATGCTAGGAAAGTGTTTCCAATGAAAAAGGCTACAAAAAGAATCTGGGAAACAGACACTGCATGTAGTAGATGCCGGGGATAACTGTATTTGCAATAAACTAAATTTGGTTCAGCAAGAAGCAAGAGTGAGAATTTTTTATTTTTATATTTTTTCATGTTTTTTGTGGAAAACATAATTTATTTCAAAAATTTTACATACATATACTACACCAGTACATAAAATACTTGTACTATATTAATACATAAAGTGTTGCTTTTCTATGATTTTAGTTTTAATAGAAGGGATAGAATTTGTCAGGATTTGATTGTACTTTGAGAAAACATTTATGTTGTGACAATCTATTCAGAAAGTTGTTTTTTTTTTTTTTTAAGATTTATTTATGCATACTAGAGCTGGGGTTCAGGCCAGAGGTGTGGGGGGTGAGAGGATTCACCAGAGACAGAGCGGGTAACAGAACAGGCAGACTGATGAAATACACTGCTGAGGGGAACAGCAGGCGAGACAGGAGAGGTCTGCCTCGCCATGTGGGTAGCTCCCTGGCGAGCAGGGGATCAAACTTGTGCTGCAGAGGCTGCGGACAGCTTCATAGGTTGTGTCTACCCCCTTGTGCCATCAGGGAGGCCCCAGAAAATTGTTTTTCAAATCCGAGTGAGGCAGGTGTAACATGTTCTGCTTAGGTCTAGGAAATATTGCTAAATCCTTTATGAGGTTGTTTGGAGTCCACAAAAAGCAGCTGATCAGTGCCCCATGGATATTTATTTAGGGGATTATTTGATAACACAGATGACTTAGGGGATGATTTGGTAACACAAATGACAGAGCAGGAAAACAAAATGGACACTAATAAATGAAGTGAGGTTCCTGAGGTTAAAGTGGGAGAAGAGAGGAGGGCAAAAGGGTCAAATGGGTAGAAGGAATGGGGGGGGGGGGGAAATCAATCCTGTTGAGGCTTGACTATTTCTAATATTTTAATTTTCACTTTAAGGGTGAGAATTTTTAAAACCAATTATTATCAACCAGTGACTGTATATTATACCATTCAAGTTATTTTTGAGCCTCTGAAAAAGAGCAAGGGGAAACTGATGCGATTAGGAGAACATAAGCAATAGTACCAGGTGAAAAAAAAAAGGCAAGGTTGCTTACAAATAGTCTTACTAATTTGCTTTAACAAAAAAATGAGATGAGGGCCTCCCCGGTGGTGCAGCAGTTCAGCGCTGGGTTGCGAAGCTGCCCGCAGCCTCTGCAGCTCCAGTTCGATCCCTGGCTGCTCCCCGGCCACCGGAGGAGGGTCCCACATGGCGCGCAGACCTCTCCTGCCGCCCGCTGCTCCCCTCAGCAGTGTGCTTCGGTCCTTCTGCCTGTCTGCTCCCCGCTCTGGCTCTGGTGAATTCTCTCACCCTCCCGCGCTTCTGACTGTACCCAGTGCTTGTATAAATAAATAAATAAATACATAAATCTTTGAGGGGAAAACAAAAAAAAAATGAGATGAATGGATTTTCACTTTTCCCAGAAACCAATGAGAGACTCACGGGAATTCTCATTTGTTAGGTAACTGTAGGTTTCCACAATCAGCCAAGTGGTGCTCTTGTTTTATAGAAGAAGAAAATGAGACCAAAAAAGAGGAACTCATTTGTTCACCCTGCACTTCGGCTGAGGACCCTGGTCTGCGCTCTCTGTTCTGCTCCTGTAGAATATCTCAAAACCCCATAAAATCAAGTTCAAAATCTCCAGCTCTGACAATGTGTTTGATGTCTTTCTATGATAGTTTCTGTTTAAAAAGCCACTAAGGGGAAACTTACTTTCAGCCGAGCAAGTTGAATTTCTGAAAATTCTCGAACACCATTCACTGAAGGAACCAGTCGATTATAGAGAGCCTAAAGACACAAAAATAAAACCCCACCCAAGTTTAAGGGCTAACCATGACCTTGGACAAGTCACAGATATGACAAAGCTCATTACATTTACAACCGCACTGTTTAGATCACAGAGCCTATTAAAATTCTTGGCTAATATAAACAATGTAGAGCTAAGTTCTGTCATTTCAATAAATCCGACTAGATCTGAAATAATGCACACTGCAGAGTTTGCAAAAATGCATATTGTTTGATCTATAGCCTTATAACAATCAAATCACATTTGTCTGTATTTGGCTTCAAACGTTCCCTAGGTAGTTACTTTAATGGGAGGAAATCAAGATTTTTGTAAAATGTGGGAGAGTCTCACTTTAATCTGTGTCCTATGTCTGAGGAACTTGCTCCTGGTTCTCTGGCCCCACTTCAGGTGGGTGGTTTACCCCAGACAGCATGCACCCAAAGCCAACAAGGGGGGTCTGGCCTCTTTACAGCACATCTAGGGTATTCCATATATTATTAGAGCCTTAAGAGTCTAGACTGGAGAATAGACCTAAGAGGATTGTTCTACCAACCACCTTCAAAACTCAAGACTCAAAGAATAGTTGGCTTAACAATACAACTAACATAATTCTCCCCAAGACTTGGCAGCACTCATAAACTCATTTCAGAATCTGACCAAAGTGTGGATTTTCACCCCAAGAAACATTATGAATAAAATTTCAGAAAGCTTACGGACTCCAGCACTTTCTCCAGAAACTCCTTAGGAATCCATGAATGTCAGGTTAAGCATTTTTCTCACCTTATCTGTTTGAGTGTTTTCATGGAAAATCCTTGTGTCGATAGCGGCAGCCAGCAAGTTATTGGCAGCGGTGATGGCGTGGATGTCTCCAGTCAGATGAAGGTTGAACTGTAAACAAAAGGAGATCATCTTTTTACCTGTTTTGAACAAACACGGCAGCATTCAAGGACTTTCTGAATAAATCAGAGAGTCTGTTAATTATGGTTATTTCCAGCTAAGTCTATACAAGAGCCTAAATCAGAATATCAATGTCCGAATCTTCCACTTGACAACACACAACTCCAAATTCTTCCATTCTTGGGTGAACGGTGAGATACTGTGGTGACCTTGCGGAAAGGCTTCTTCATTTTGATTTAATTCTATGTGTTGATTTATAAGATTTAGAAAACAGTAATATAGCAAGTCTTTTGGAATTAGGCAGGGGTTAAATAATAGGATAATATAAAATATGGTAGAAAGTCTGAGAAATAGAAAAATATGCCATCCTAACACCACCATTAATTCTATTATTTTCTTTCTGCCCACGTGCACACAATTACTATTTGTACACAGGAAGCTTACACTGTGGTGACTGCAGTTATAAAATTGAACAGATGTACCTAAATGTTTCAGTCTTCTATGTCTGGAAATTCAAGTTTCACTTTCCCAATTATAAAGAATACATACAATAGCTTTTTTTTTTTTTAAAGTAATCACTAGTAAGTAATATATCTCAAGTAGTGATTATTGAGTTATAGGATTTGATAATTTACCAAATTGCTTTTTGAGAGAGTTGAAAGTGAAATAAATCAGAAGGAGAAAGACAAAAACTGTGATTTCACTCATATGTGGAACGTGAAAAAACAAACAGATGAATGAACTGAATAAAACAAAAACAGACCATAAAATCAATTAGTGTTTATCAGAAGGGAAGAGGCATGGATTAGTTAGTTAGGCAATAAGTGAAGGACAGAACTGAAACTTTAGTGGAGAGTTTAATATATTATATACAAACAGAGACTGATTTTTAATGATGCACAACTGAAACTTAATAATGAAATTATGTAATGATACTTCAATTAAACAAAAGAGACACACACACAAAAAGTGCAATAACTTCCTGGGTCAAAATGCAAAAAAAAAAAAAAAAAAGTAGCATTTTAAGTTGTATTACTTACAAGGTTAAACATTTAAACCTTATTAAAATCTTATTTTGTAACTATATATAATAGAATATAAACTATATATAATAACTAGCAAATACAAAAAATGACAGATGCATATTTCACAAAACGTATTTGTAACCCTAACCTTGAGATCATAGGACCCTAATAGGTTGTACCTTAGCTTTTGCACTTAATGGTACTATTTTTAGCATTTTATATCATTAGTCTTATAGCATAGTTAATTTGATAATCAAGTTTTTGATATTTGACATTAAAGTTTTTTAATGCTACAAACCATGAGAAGAAAACAGTTAAAAAATGAAATCTTTGCTCATACAGCTAGTTTTTCCTTAGGATAAACTAAAAATGAATTCATTTGGGTCAAAGGATATGAATTTTTAAAGGCACTTGATACATAGTTCCAATTCCCCTCCAGAAAGGTTTTATCAACATACACTTCCCAGCAGTGTACAAGGGTGTATTTCGATCTTTTCTTTACAAAATCTAATATTACTGTTTTAAAAAATCAACTCTGTCCACTTGACAGGAAAATGACAACAGTGGTTTTTATGTAGATTAATTTGATTACTAGTGAATGTGAACATTCGTTGGTTATTTAATATTCTTTTCTGATGTTTCTACTGAACTCTTTACGACTGGGATGAAAGTTTTTCTTTCCAGCTGTCTATCTGATCTCTGTTTGGATGTTTAAGACCCCCTTAGAACCCCTTTCTCCAGCCCACCACAGTTCAAACCTCACCCCATGAGGCCAGCGGTTCTCTATTTCAATAAATTATAATATAGACTTGCTCACCCCAGCACCCTGGACCCCATCCCTGAGCCCTTTCTCACCCTGCCCATGGGACACTGCAAACATGTCTTAGGTCAACCACATCCTTTTGTCCACCCTCACTGCCATCCTCCTGGGCCACCGGCTTAGTCTCCTCATGGACGCCTCCTGTCCACCCTAGGCCGCCATCAATGTTCACCCAGAAGCCAGGGTGCCTTTTATAAAGTCTGATTGGCATCACGTCATTACCCTGTCAAGATCCCAGAATGGTTGTCCATGATAGTTCAAGAAAAATCCAGCCTTGGCTTGAATCCCAAGAGCTGAGCACAAGTTGGCCTGTTTCTCTGCCTCATCCCCCTCCACTCCTGGGGCCCACTGGGCCCAACCAGGTGGGTGTTCTCGGGTTCCCTGAATAGGCCTGCTCCTGCAAGGCCTGGCCAGGTGCTCCCCACTGCTCCGGGGTAGCGTTCCCTCATCCTCCCCCAGGCTGGCTCCTCCTGTCCTCCAATCGGTGTTTTCACTCTCAGTTCTGCTAGGCATCTGGAACTGATTCTATCATTTCCCCCATGATTGATTATTAATTAAGTTTCTTCTGCTAGGCACTGTCTGCTCAAGACACTGAGTAGCAGGCCCTGTGCCTAGCTGGGGAAAAGAGGTGAAGAAATAGGCCTCAAATTTAAGACATGAACAGCCTGGTCATGCGGACCCACTCCACGACCACCAGGCAGTTCCGGCAGCCTCATGCCTTGAGTTGGGTTGGACGCCCCATCCTGCAGCGGCTGCCGAGGACACCGACCCTTTCTCAGCCGGCTGGCCAAGCTGCCTTCTCTGTCCTCCAGCCCCAGCTTGGCCTCGGCTCTGGATCTTCTTAGCTTGTGCGAGTTACTTATCCCTTCAGCTGTGAAACCCAAGACCATTTTTCTTGCACTATTTCTTTATCATCCCCTCTGCCCCCCGATCTTGAAGACTACCCTTTAGTTTGCCTGCCATTCAGTCCTCTGCGGATGAAAACCTCTCCTGTTCCTTCAGCAAAACCAACAGTGATTCCTACTATGAGAGTGAACACCTACTATGTGCTGGACACTCTGCTAAGTGCTGGGGTCCATGGTAGACTTACCTCTTCCATGGGGATGACCTGGGCATACCCGCCGCCCGCGGCTCCTCCTAAACAAGAGAGCAGGCACAGCTGAAAGTGAGTCACCACACACAGCTCCTCAGATGGACAGAGCCGGGGCACATCGCCCAGCCCACAGGTGTGCCCCACCCAAGTGAAATAACAAGCAGTGGGATGCGTGACCGTCAAACCAGGAAGGAGGTGAGATGCTCACACATCCAACTACGCAATAGGAGGGCTGCATCTGCCTTCTTTTTTCTTAAGGAGGGTTAAAATAACATAGCACGTATCAGCATATGAGGCTATTAATTTATCGACAGTTCTGTGCAGCCAGGCTTCATCTAATTACACAAACATGTAAGTATCAAATAACTTTGCTAAAAAACCCACCCGATAAACTGAGATTAACACATTATAAACATTGGTTTGTTTAGATTACAGCACAAAATTTGTCACGTTGTTTATCCCTCAAAGGTGTAAAGTTACTATATTTAAAAGGCTGTGCCTTTCTAGAACAATGCTGCTACCTTCCACATGCATATCACGTTTACGTTCCATGTGTTGAGGCTGGTCCTATCATTCTTTTCACCCTCTTAGAGTTGTGGCTCAGAGAGGTTATGACCCGCTAAAGGCCACACCGCGTTGGAAACAGCCAGGAATAAAGATTCTGCCTACTGCTCCACGTACATTGTTCTTTCCACTGCATACCCCACGGCACTGAGTTATCAGGGACTGACGAGTTAGGAGAGACTAGCATTTGCAACAGTAATATAATGACAGGTCTGCTGAAAAGACCCCAAGGTCAAGAACAAAGAGTAATTGCGGCAATCAACGCTACTGTAAAGCCAGCGCGATTTCATGATAAATTAACGAGGGGAGAGAGTGAGGACGACTTCCACCCTATCTCTCTGTCCACAGTCTGCTACTGAGTTCCCCCGGGCACGATTAGGGGCTGACCCACAGGTCTCCATGTCCACAGAAAGACCTTCCTTCCACGGTGGTTGGAACGACAAACACAAATACAAACGGCCGTTTCCAAACCCCTCCTGATGAAACCATCAGGCTTCTGGCGGGGTCCCCTGAAGCCCCAATGCAGCTCCTGCTTCAGGGGACCAACCTGCAAGAGACTCCAGGTCCTGGTGGCGGGGTGGGTGGGGGTGCACACAGGGCAGGGTCGGGCGCATGCATGCCGGAATGGGGGCTCACGCAGGGATGAAATGTCCCAGCCTCTCCTAAGATGCCCACGTCTGTTGATGATGTACTTTTCAAACTTTTCTTCCCAGACAATTCTGCTCTGAAAACCACACTAGCTGTCCTATCAAGTACCTTTAACTCCGAACGTGGGCCCTTGAGAAGGCTGCCGCAGACAGGCGAAGGAGTTGATGTTGAGGTGTGCGGTCAGCGCCTGCACGAGCCCCACCGTGACCGTGCTCTTCCCTTCTCCCAGCGGCGTGGGGGTGATCCTGGCGGGTGGGGGAGAGTCCGGTTAGTAATGGTTCCAATCAACCGAAGCTACCAGAACCAACTCTGAAGATGTTGGGAAAAACGATACTTTTGTTTTCTTGGACCAACATGATCCATCCACCTTGCACAGTCCAGGCTGAATTTAAAATGGAGATTATAGACACACCTTTACCAAGAGACTGCAAAAATGAAGCCATGGGGCAGCATCCTGGCAACATCGTCATTTGTAGAATTTGTAGAAATGGGATCGAACCTGCCATCGAAATGGCTCAAATAATTACAAAACTGACGTCATTTTCGCTGATGGGCCATTTGGCATTTGTTTTTCCAAAGCCATTCACTGGGGACACAATGGGGACATGGGGTCAGCGCCATGGTCCACCAGTGAGTGACTGCATGGACCTCACTCGGTGTGGGAAGGAACCCGCCCCGCCCCGTTCATCATCTCCTAGATCTCAGGGCCCAGAGCTTGTCTTCGCGACGTTTGCGCACAGCCGAGGTGGAGCTCATGGGGAGCCCACTCGTCCCATACAGCTTTCACAGCTCGGAAGTCCTTTCCCCTGAACGTGGAGATGTCTGCACTCCTGCAGCTTCCTACTTCCTAGAGTTGGAATCGCTAAGTACAACAGCCCCTCAATATTTGGAAAGAATTAGTGCAAAGCTTCGCCACACCCTGAGTCAATCCTCCCCGCCCTGGAGTTTACTGCGGCGCACAACACCCTACAAAACCACAGCAAACATGCATGACAATGTCATCGTGTTAGTAGGCCAGGGGTACTACGTTCCCCAGTGAGGCGCCACCGACTGTTCCTCAGGACACGTGAACCACCGTTTTAAGAATGGTTCCTTGGGTGCCTGTGAGTTAGATGGTGTGAGCTGGTTGTCTGGGATACTCACCCGCAACAAAGCCACACTCACCAACCTTAGTTTTCTGACCCACAAAATGTAATGTGACCACAGAGAAGCAATGGCCGTGGACACATAACGGCCCCAGCGAGCCCAGCCCATGCCAGCAGTACAGTCATCGGCTCAGCAAATGTCATCAAATATGACAACACACCGGGCTGCTAGACCTGGGGACACGTGACAGCTGAGTTGGACGCCATCACGGTCTTCACAGAACTTGGGTTGATGGCAGCTGTGTAGACACATCAGCGTGACAATGAATGGCCCACACTGAGGCAAGGAAGCAGGACAGTGAGGCTACAGGGTGAGAATCCCTGGAAGTGGGTCTCCCTGGATTGGGGCAAGGTGGAGGCTTCCCTGGGGATCACACAGTCACCAAGCAGTCAAGCTGGAAATCAAACCCAGCCAAGTTGTCTGACTTCACTAGTTGTTTCCATGGAGGGAGATGGTGACCTACAATCAGCAACTTAATGCAGTGGAAGGGGCACAGAAAAGGGACAAAGGTGGTTCCCTTGAGATACACTTTCTCTGAAGGAATGTTCTGGAGAAGAGAGTGCTGAAAGAAACTACTAAGCAGCAGCATAAAGTCAGAGCCCCTGGCAGAAGGTGGTGTTTCTTGGAAGCCAAGCAAGGGCTCACTGGGTCGGAAGAGGTGGTGGATGGTCCCGCAAGGGTTGGGGGGCCAGCATGAACACTGCTGGGGAAGGGGCCCTCCGGGTCCTCCCCCCACAGGACATGTGTCTAAGCTGAGGCCTCCAGGGCATATGAAGGACTTGTGCTCGAGCCACATTCTCTGGCTTGAGCTACAACATGAGCTAAAGTAGTGACAAAGCCCCAGGCATCACAACCTCACAACAGCCTGCAGAGCAAATGCAGTATTGATGACCAGGGAGTTTGAGCACCAGACTGAGCGTTTACTGCTTGCAAAGGAAGAGGTGGTTTTCTTAAACTGTCACATGAAGGATTACATTTTCATTCCCAAGGATATGCTGACAGAGCTGCTGGAGACAGCCAAAAGCAGACACACCCAGAGATGACCTCCTCAAAACTTCAGCGAACCATCCAACTCTTAATTGGAAACACACTGCTTAGCTTACTGCCAACTAATACAATTCAGGCAAGAAATCAGAAAGTAGGAAGGATTTATTGGGAGCCATAAGGAGAGCTACAATAAAAATGTTATTTCACCTCATTCCTAATTTCGGTATCAAAATTTGGTTTTATGATCATCTTGTATCTTTGATTCAGGCTACAAATTATCATGAAAAGAACAAGTTCTATGCTAACCTGATTCCCCTTTCTAGAAGAACTTAGGATTTTTGGAGCTTGAACTGCAATTCCTGGTCATTACCTTACTCAACTTTTCCAAGCAGTGACTTGCTTGGGTATCCCAAAGCATTTATGAGATGCTTATCATACGAAGGGCAACATCCTAGGATTCCTATAGGTCATGAGCCAGCTGAGATAAAGTGACCTGTCTCCTTTCTAGCCCTCTGGAAGCAAAACACAACAACGTTTAACAAAAGATAGTGCCTCTTCTAAGACAAACATTATTTCTTTTCAACCACAGTAAAAACCTGTCAGGTATTCTCTGACAACATAGTCATCATCTGAAAGTCTGCCATTCACTCAAAGGCAAGGAGACTGCTTATGCAGAGGGACGTGGTAACGCTGAACTCAAAGTCTCCGACTCAGGATGACTGGTGAGTCATCTACCATGACTCCAAACCTAGGAGCGCAAATGGCGCATGACAGATGCCTTAGCCCGGGGATCTTCAGGGTTTGGAAGGTTTCTTAAAAAGCCTTTTATTACCTAATGATAAATTCCCTAGTTCATTTGCTTGTGTTTCCTGTCTTACTTGACTGGGGTAAATAGTTCTAAAGTCCCATCAGTGGTGATTTCTTCTAAACACCTTTGTTCTATTTTGCAAGTTGTGTCAAGAAAGGAAAAAAAATCACAGATATCTAGTTATCCAAGGCAGAGAGGCAAACATTAAGAAATAAAATCAAATCAGGGTATTTGGCGTTACCCAGCAACCAAAACTGAAGTGATATAAAAGCTGTTTTCCTTTAATATGAACTTCAGTCTGTTCACAGACCAGTTCGGGTCTTTCTTTTAGCTGTTTTGTGCAAGCAGTTGAGAGGCGTTCTAGAAACTTCTATACAGAAATCAGTAAAGGGCCAGGGGAGACCAACCCTGCACACACATTGGTGCCCCACAGCTGCACTCTGAGTCAAGTTCTCAAACAAATTCCTTTTCATTAGTGTAACTGGGAAAATATGTAAAACTCAAGAGCCCTTAAGATTCTCTTGGCTTATTTCCCTGAACAATTCCCAATACTTTTCATTTTGTCAGGCAAAGCAAATAAAGTGATATGTAGGTGTAAATACCATTCGATGTGTAGCTGATGAAATACAGATGATTCTGACAAAGCAAGATACTGGGGTTTAGAGAATAGGTTTTATTTTAAACAAATTAATCTGTTCTGCATTTGGGGTATTAATAGTAGAAAATTTCTAAAAAATCCCATTGTTTTATATTTTAATCCAATGTTGATCTATTTAAATCACTTTTTTATATAAATTAAAATTATAGTAACAAATAGATTATTATTTAGGTTTATTGAAAAATTACTTGGTTATTGGAATTCTTCTAAAGCATGGGAAAAGATTTGTTATAGTATTCAGAGAAAAAGGCAGGACACACAATGGTATTTATTGCATAATCTCTATGTGTAAAAAGTATAGATGCACAGATAAAATTCTGGAAATAAAGGAATACAAAAAATTAGCACTGCTGAGGAAGGGATTTCATCTTCTTCCTCTTTATTTTTATGTTTAAAACTTATTTTTGCAATAAAGCAATATTATCTTCAGGATAAAAAATCCTTTCAGAAAAAAGGAAATAATTCTCCATTGAACTGATAGGTCATTTATATTTCTGAAGAAGTTGCAATAGCATAATTTTTCTATAACTAATTAACCTGATCAAAAGTAAAATTATGGAGATGATTTTTACTTTGAGTGACCTTTTCAGTTTAAATTGGGTTTTACTTAGATTAGATAAGGAAGGCAGTTTACACATTGAAAAAAGTACCATGTGTTATACTGGTCTGGGGGAGTTTATGGAATACAATCTGGGATTTAACTTCTAAAATCCTCCCAGTGTTGCTGCGGCTGCATATATGTCTCTACAACCTAGCCTCAAAGCTTTGGGGTTTGTTATTTTTTGTTCCAAAGCAATTGAAAGCAACACAATTTAATTTTTGCTCCTGTATAGGCCTTTGTTCATAAGGAAACTTCTATCACAACTTTAGAAATAGAACTCTTGTTCTCTTGGAGTTTAATTTGTACTTGAGAATTCAGGTTTAATTTTCATTTCTAACTACAATCTGGCAACTTGGCTTCTTGAACTCAGTTACACAAGAAACATGTATGAGAAAGTCTGGAGCCCCGTTCGACGGGGCAGAGACACATAGCTGGAATCCGAAGGAGCCAGGCTCGGTCATACCCCAGCATGTGGCTGGAGGCCTGGCTTGGACAACAGGACTTCATGTCGGGAATTCAACAACAATACTACCTGGATCGGACAGATTCTGTGTTCACAGTTAAGGACGGGTCTCTGTCTAGAATTGTGGTTTCATTTCTACTACTGACAAGCTCCAAATCACAATCACTCCATATAATAACCCACTCTAAGAGTCTTCCTTCATAAACTGCGAGCATATCCTTCTGAGCTTTCTTCAAGTCCTTGCCTGAAACAGGGTGGGAAAACCAGCAAACGCATCTATGAGGATCACTGAGTGCCTGGAAGAAGGAAGGTAACCCAAGGATAAGGCACTTTGGAAGTGGGTCATGCCCCAGAGTGTTTATTCACTGTCCGCAAGCTGGCATCAGGCCCCACTAGCTAGATGCTCCAATCTCTGGAAATTGTTAATTTCAGTACTATTTATAATAGCCAGGAAAGAGAAACAATTCAAGTGCCTACCCATAGAGAGTGGGCTAAATACATTGTGGGCTATCATTTTTCTGTCTTAATATACTTGAAGAATTAGAAACATGCTGTACTCCCAGTGGCTGAGCTACAGCAGTGCTTCCCGGTGACTTGCCAGAGCCTAGAAAGATGTGTAACATGGAAAACACCCAATTCACTCCCTGCACCCCCCACACTGACCCCTTCCCCAGAAGGTTTAAGCATCTCAGATGCTAGCGCTGGAATGTTATGCAGTCATGAACAATGATGACATGGCTCTCCAGGGACTCCCACAGAGCCAGGTGCACAGCACACTGCTGAAAGAGCAAGCTGCTTTCAGGGCTGCATATGTGGGGTGCTCGCATTTAGGAAAGACTATCCAGTGTCCAGATGGTCAAATGTCACCAGCCATTTCTTTTGGGCTGTAGGATATGGGTTGGTTTACTTTCTTATTTATACTGTTTATACTTTGGAATACTTTTACAATAGGTGTGCAAGACTCTTATAAGCAGAAAAGGAAACAGAGCACTTTCATTAATAATTAAACATGTAAAACTGGACATGTGATCAAGTCCAGTTTTAAGAAACGTTTCTGCCTAACAAACAGGTTTTGTGCCAAGAGCCTTGGCTTCTATATCCTTAGCAAGTCCATGCAATGAAATTTCAAGACAACAAAGGAATTTATATGCGCTCCTGGTGTTCCCTCGGGTCACATTGAATAAATATTTGCAATCCCTTGTTTTCTATCATTTTTCAGCTAGTGAATGTCTTTTATTTTAAAAAGAGAAAATATCACAAATGCTCCTTTTCACAAAAACTGTGTTTGTTTTTCTAAAATGACCAACACAAAAGAAAATGGCCCACCAATGTTAATTTTGAAATGCAAGAAAAGAGAAATAATGAATTTTGGTTATGCAAGTAAGAAGCAAGATTTTGGGGATATTAACAGGAAAATATCAGTTTCACACAATTATCTGTACATTTTCCATTAAAATGTTCTTTCTAAAGACACCATAAAAAACCTGCTCAGTTCAAAAATACTTTTTTTCAGTTCTGATTTTGATTTTTAGCATGAGAAATGATGAAAAACCCAAGGAGGTGCAAGGGTAATGAAAACAAAAGTATGAGAAACAAAAAGTGAGTATTGCATCAGTAACTCACCGCACTGTATTTTGTGGAGAATGTTTTGCACTGAAAATAAAAACTTAACCTCATGTCAGATGCAGAAATACTAAAAGAAATGGCCAAGCTCATGTCCAATCTGCAGGCAGGATGGATTGGAGGGGGCTGACAACAGCCATAACTAGGTAAGAGCGTTTTACAAACATGTCCTCTTAGGAAAATGGATGCTGAAAGTCGTCTTACCCGGCCACGATGACGTATTTCCCATCTGCTTGATCCTTCAACCTCTCGAGCACGGACAAACGCACTTTGGCTTTGCTCTTGCCGTAGATTTCAATTTCATCTGCGAGCAATCCTATCTCCTTGGCAAGGACTTCCACGGCTTTTGGAGTCTGTGCTCTGGAAATCTCGATATCGCTAAGGGGGAAACACATCAGAGGAAGAGTTTTCTCGGCTTAGGTGGTCGCTGCTAGAGCGAAAGGCACCCACACACCCAGCCAACAGTGAAATCCACGCCAGGACTCTGCGGTCCTTCCTTCCAGGCTGTGTTCACACAACTGCTAACAATTACTGTGCACGAGAGAATACTTTTTTTTAGATAAGCAACTCTGAAAACCTCAGAAGGATGAAAAATATCACCCAGGCACAAAGATAACACCTAGGCCATAGGACAGAACTCCATATGCCACATGCCAGAGCCTTCCTGTAAGTGCAAAGCCACCAGCGAGCAAAGGGCTCACTACTGGTGCTGTGTCGTCGAGGCTGTGAACCGCCCATAGCCTGGTACTGCCTGATGCTCTCACTGGGCTAGCCACATGTGGCTCTTGGCTACTCAGAAATGTAGAAATGCTATTCTGTTTTATCTGTGTCCATATTTTCCCTTTCCTATTTCAAGGCCAAAGTCCTATTTCCAAATATTGTATTAATTACATAATGGTCAGAAAAAGGACTTAGGGCCTGAAGTTCCATTTCAGATGCAGGAAATCGTAGGAGGTCGGGTGTGTCACTGGGCAAACCAATCTATTTTACTGGCAAGAGAAAAGCACTGAGCATCTTCAGGAGCGTGTGCTGAACTCAGGAAGTCTGTGGGGTTCCTGAGCTCAATGTTTTCTCTTACTGGAGGGTCAGGCCATCTGGCTGTAACTGAGGGTCTGATGGAGAGGGAGACCCCCTGGCAGAGCAGGCGGTGGGGTGGGGGGGGATCAGAGACTGTGCAGGGCTGCCGTGGGAGAGGACAGCCTTGCTGTATGGGCGCTGGGAGCAGCAGCCTCTGCTCTGGTTCTGTTACTGGTCCTACGGCCTGCACACCACCCTCATACAGATCCACATTCTCCATGCCCCCAAGGGAGCCGAAGCTTGGGGCAAGAGTTAACGGTAAATCTGTATCTGGATCCACAACTCTGCAGGGCATAAGAGGCAGAGGGCTGAACTCTGGGACCCCGGCTGCTGACCCGCCGAGGGCCTCCTGTACTTCCCTCTGCAGGCTCCTGCCCCCTTCCCTGCCCACGCTCCCACTTCAGTTCTCTGTCCCGACTGTACTCCTGTTTCTCTCCAGCCACAGTGTCCTCCATGGAATCACTTACTCCTGGAGGATCTCCAGATTTCTCTCTACTAGTCTACAGCGAGAGTGACATCATTTTGATTTCTTTAGTGATTTATAAAGGACTCCGCCTCTCTTTCCCTTGTGGCTCTAGAAGTCAAATTGGGTTATGTAATTACAGCAATTTTTGGGTCACAAGTAGACTTTACTTTGAGTTATACTAAGAGTTTGGTACACAATTTGGACTAGTTCATCTCAAAAAAAAAGTTTAACCTCTCTCTAAGTAGAATCTACTCATCTGCTTTTAAAAATTAAGATCCTAATACAATATAACTTTGAATATAGGATATTTCACAAAATGGATTGCACAATGATGGGATGGTATTATAAAGAACAACAGAATTTCAGAATTAATGAGCACAGAAGATGACTAAGATCCTTAGTTTGTTTCAGGGATGAAAGCACAGCCTGGAAGGGCTTGCCAGCCTGGCGGTTATAGCTGGACCCTGTGTTCAGCTGACCGCCCAAGGACAGAGGTCAATTCTGAAAAGTCGTTGGGTAGCATGTCTACTAATATTCTGGGCATCGCCATGCCGGCAGCCAGGGTCACCTGGGGAAGCAGATGTGAAATGCATGTCCTGGATGAAGGGGCAGGGCTGATTCACTGGAGGAGGGTGGGGGCGCAGCCAGAGGTCTCCGCACGAGTCTGGAAAAGGCAGTTCTCTGGCTCAGATATCTTATCTGGCTAATTATTCTAAATCACAAACTGAGGCTTGTCCTGCCATTTGTATTTCCAAATTTATACAAAGACAATATTACACTTCATTAAAGAGCACTCCGAAGAAAACAACCATCTGGACTATCCCCGTGATGTGACTATGCTCTGCAGAAAGCTGGGCTCAGCGCCCACATGGAACTGGTTTGGTTGGTCACTTCCCCTAGAGTAGAAAAAATAGCATGATAGCAACTTGAATAGAGAAAATTATCAGGCCATGCCCCTGCCGCATGGATGACTTTGGGTATCTAAGGCACTTCGGGGAGATGACATGAGTACAGATTGCCAGGTTACCTTGGAACAGGGGACAGAGGCTGAAGCTTCAGGCAGTGGAGTCTCCACCTGGAGTGCTGCTGTTCCCGAAGCCACCTCCGGCCACTACTGACCATATTCTTCAGCAGAAGAGAAAGGAAAGCATGTTATAAAGGCAAGAGTGGACAGGGCATGTATAAACTCAATGAAGACACTGTTGCGCAATATTAAATCATGGGAAGAATTATAAAGAATTACAAATTATAAAGTAGGATAATTTAAGGAAAAGGTGGGATACTGGCACTAATAAAACAGTTCAAGCGTTAACCGAAGGCATCAAACACAAGAATCAAGTTACCCTGAGTGGGCCCTTCATCTCAATTAGAAAATAATGAGGAAACTATGACAAGGCAAGAGGGATCAGCCTGGATGTCCAGCTTCCAAAATGTGTGACACCATTTCAAGTACAATTCTCATACAGTTGATAAAACAAGACAAACAGACTGAATTATTAAATAGTGACAGACAGATAAAATTAAATGTAACAGTTAAAACGTAACACGCACTCCTAACAGTTAAAATGTAACAGTTAAAATGTAACACGCACTCCTAACACAAATATATTGCTTCCTGTTTTGAAGCAAAAGTTAATTTTAAGACCAAAATCCCTTTTCCATGAATATGAACTAGACTTGTTTGCTCACTTCTAGGAAAGAGGAAAATCAGAAGTGGATGTGTGGCTTTGGAATCAAGGTCATAAAAACCTACTGCAATTTTTTCTTTTCCCCTTCACTGGATCCCTCATTCTGGGGAAGTTGGCTGCCATGCCAGGAGCAGTCCTCATGATGAGGAACCAAGGCCCCCTGCCAACAGTCAGTGAGGAATCAAATACCACACAACAACAGCCATGTGTGCGCCATCTTGGAAGTGAATCCTTGGGCCCCCATCAAACCATTGGACATTTGTAGCTTCCACTAACATCTTGATTTTAACCACTGGAGAGACACAAAGCCAGAAGCACCCAGTAAGGTGCTTCCAAATGTCTGACCCACAGAAACCATGACAAAGTAAATGTTTTAAGTTGCTAGATTAGGTAAGTAATGGATTATGTAAGAATAGATCATTAAAAACAGACTACAATTTGGGTCCCTGCCCCACACTTGTCATATGACTAAAGGCAATTACTTCACTTTTCTAAGTCTCCACTTCCCCATCTATCAAATACATTACCATACAGGATTGCTGAGACTTCAATGACATTATGCTTGTCAGGTGTTTTACACTGTGCCCACTAAGTGAAAAACCTTTGCAAAATGTTAGCAACTATTAATCAGAGCTCCAAACTCCAAAATCTGTGTTGAACAAACCTGAATCCGCAGAGCTGCAGCAAGCAGACTCACATCATCTTCTGCAAAGAGACCACTAAAATTTATCCCAGGAGCACCACATCCAAGCTTCCCTGCAAAAAATTGAGGGGGGGGGGAGAGAAAAAGACTTTGAGCACACTGTCATTACTGTCATTACAGCCAATTGATCCTTGTAAAAAGGCAGCAAGTTTGTGGGAATGTTTAGTCTAGTCAACATGGAAAGCTGCATGGAGCTCTCTCAAAACACTAAAAATGGATCTACCATAGGATCCAGTGATGTCACTCCTAGGAATCAACCCAAAGGAAAACCTGCCCATCCTATGTTTATTACAGCACTATTTACAACGGCCAAGAACTTGAGGTATATATACACAATGGAATATTACTCAGCAATGAAAAATACAAACCCATGCCATTTGCAGCAACGAGGATGGAGCTGGAAAGATTATGCTAAGTGAAATAAGCTATAAGGGAAAAGAAAAATATTGGATGGTTTCACTCAAGTATGGAATATAGAGACACCAAACAAAGAGTTAAGAAAAAGACAAAACTTGCACCCAAACCAAAGCTCTGAGGCATATAGCAGGGGAGGGGGCAAAAACAGGGGAGGGAAGAGCACAAGGGACAGTGGTGAGGGAACATGGGTGTTGTGGTAGTGGGAGAACTATGAGGACTACATCCCAGGGGAGACATCAAACCCTTACCCCAAATGAACAATGATATTAAGAAAAATGAATAAATAAATAAGCCAGAAAGTTGAATGACGGTCCCATTTTTCAGCCTAGTTAAGATGCGAAAATGTTGACATGGGGCTCTCAACTGATCCAGAAAATGCAATTGGCTGGGATTAAAATCTTGTCTCCACCTCAACTAGCAGACGTGACTTTGTGCCTGTCAACTAAGTGGGTGGTGCCAGCCTCACAGAATTTTGTGAGAATTAAATGCAATGTGGTATATGAAGTGCCAGGTGTGTACATACATTCCAACAATACGTATAAAACAAAAGCAACTTCATTTATGAAAAAAGTACAAGGGGGACAAAAGCAGATGTCCCTGTCATAAATTTTCCATCAAAACTGAGGAATCATATTTTAGGATATTACTTTCAGGGATTACCTGGCTTTCAAAATAGGGAGGCATCTATAAGAATTCTACTTTTTCCAACTTTACTTGATGCTTAGAAAGTTGATAAACACATATGTAGAATGCTTCAGCATACATCCTCCCTTAGAAAACAGGAACACTTGCAAAGGCAACTTTTTAGAATTAAATGATGTGCTTCTATTTCGGGCCACTCTACTTTTAAATTCCCTGCATTGCTGACCCTCCTTTGCAAGAAAAAGCACAGAACACTTATATGTTTTGTGATGTTCTCCTGTCAAGTATATTAAGGGTGTTAGGAAATTGTATCCTCCAGGCATTTTTTAAAGATCAGCAACGCTTCAGTTTTATCAATCACGTTTAGGGAAAAGCCAAGAGTCTAGAGAATGAGATTTGTATTGTGTGACCCACCAGGGATCTGATGCAAAAGTCTTGTCCAACCACCAAGGAAAAAAAAAATGTGTCTCTCATTTTTATCTCTCTTTATAAGATGGACAAATTTTTAAAAAGGAGTTGGCATCAACTTATAAATGCACGTTCTTAGAATAGAATCACAAATACCCAGGTGGATGAAGAATAATTTACCTACAGAGTTACACCGTGAATAATCGCTCCCATCACCTCAGCCATGCCTGCATGAAATACAACATGGCGAAAAGCAACAAAGATTATAAAACACGATATAAAATGGACACACACCTGTATACATGTTAGAGAAGGTTCTTGTAGAAACCAGCACTTCTCTCATTGAAGAGACAGTACTTAAATGTCAACATTTTTTAATGTATTCTTTTCTTTCCTTCCACTCTACCCAATAAAATCGATTTTAATGCTTTCTAAAGAGAAAAACATACAACAGTCACCATAAGGTGACTGGATCACAGGTTACTGTTTTCTTCTACACACTACTCTGTATTTCACAACGTTCCATCGTGAACAACGTGTGGGTTTTGTAGCAGGCATCAAGGGAATCTTAAACTGAGACAAACGCTGTGACTACAGAGAATGTGAATTAAAATGGTAACTCAGCAAATCAGAAATACATTCTGGGGGCCTCCCTCGTGGCGCAGTGGTTGAGCGCTGGGTTGCGAAGCTGCCCACAGCCTCTGCAGCACCGGTTCGATCCCCGGCCGCCGGCGAGGGTCCCACATGGTGCGCAGACCTCTCCTGCTGCCTGCTGCTCCCCTCAGCAGTGTATTTCGTCGGTCTGCCTGTTCTGTTCCCCGCTCTGGCTCTGGTGAATTCTCTCACCCTCCTGCGCTTCTAACTGTACCCAGTGCTTGTATAAATAAATAAATAAATCTTTAAAAAAGAAAAGAAAAGAAAAGAAATACATTCTGGAAAAATGTGGTGGTTAAAGAGAGGCAGAAGGAAAACCATCACCCCTCTCCCCACCATGTGGAGGCAAGGCTTCCTCTGCAGGGTTGTCTACACTGGGACACTGGTCCCATCCCAAACCAAATGGGTCTTTTCACTTCCACTAAACACTCCCCATGAACTCATGGTCCCCCAGGGAACAAGCCAATGAATTGCATTAAAAGATGGTCTTTCATTTATAATTTCTCTTAAAATAACCAAACTTTCTACAATAAGAAAATTTAAAGCTAATGTGTTAAAATGCTTTTCCTGGAATCAGAACAGCCCTCTCCCTGACAGGAGCTGTTATGAGACCACCCTGGGAATTTTGCCAGAATGAATCAAGTGGGGGCGGGGAGGGGCAGGGCAAAGCAAATTCTTGGGTCTTCTCCCCATCTCTGCGGCATGGAAGGGGTTCAGCTTCTCTGCAGTCTGGCTGAGGGGCCCTTCTCATCACAAAAGGGCTGTATGAAGCCACAGACTGAGCTCTCAAATATCCATGCCCTTCTGCCCCCCAGGAAAATAAGTTACTCTGAAAAAATTTTATATGAAGTTGAAAAGAGGAAGAGCTAAAAATTACAAATCAGTATAGCTCAAACTTCCAAAAAATACTGGTCATTAATTTTTCAGTTAAATATATTAACCTTGTAGAATAAAAAATAAAATGCAATAAATGAAATTGCAGTTTAATTTTTATGGGAATGCTCTCAAAAGGTTCACCTGCAGCTTAAAACATTTGACTTCCATTTTTCAAATAACAGTATTTTGCTTTTAAAAGCATACAATGTAAGAATTTTCAAAGAATATAATTACAATATTAATATTAGCTTATAGAAGCAGCCCCTTTGAAATCACTGAAAAGAAATTAAGACAGAATTAATAGACTGTGTATTCCAAATGGCTCGAAACTTTAAACAAGTAAAAAACATTAAATAGTATATAGAAAGCTAATTAAAATTTGAAATGGAAAACTGGTAGTGATCTCAGGAATGGATCCAAAACATCCATAATTTCCTGGAAAAAACTTTTAAGGGAAATAGGTAATTGATACAATGGATTTTAGAATAATTAAAACTCAAAAGTCATAAACAAATATCCTTATTTTATTCTGCGTGCATTAGGCTAACGATTAAATTACACGCGTGCCTGATTTACTTAAAGCTGCCTTCTTAGTTCCTCGGAATTCCATTGGACCTCTCCCTTCCTTGGGGATGATTTTTCAAACATAGACTTACAATCTGCGAACCTGGAGTCAGAAAGTTGTTTTAGGTGCCAGTGTTGTGGAGACAGCGCAGCGGAGGGGGAAGGCGGGCAGAGAGACGTGCGTTGGAAGGAACTCCGAGTGAAATACCTTCTCACCAATGCCTCCTAACAGCCTCTCTCCCAGAGAGCTTGGCTTATTTCTCAAAGACACACAGACTTTGAGTACAAAGCAACTTAAGAATTTAAAAATTATATAACTCTCTTCTTTCGGGGTCAGATTAGTCCTGACTCCCAATCCCAAACTCTTCCCACCACAGGAGGCTGCCTCCCTTGGGACCCCTAAGAGGAAGGCCAAGGGCCACTAGCTCCCCAGTATGTTGGCATGAGCCCTGGAACCCAGCTCAGGTTTCAGCCCCAGGCCACACTGAAAGGAACCAGACCCCTTAAAGTGATGCTGTAAACAACTGTACCGCAAAGAAAGTTTTGATTCTATTCTCTGACCCAAGACCTAAAACCAGCTTCGCTTTTCCCATTTGTTACATCAAAAAAATAAATCCTCATCTTGGGGTACTGGATAATCTTACTTAGGGTGAATTAGGCTCTTTTGCAGGCCAGACATTCCAAGATCACGGCCCACTTCTTTCACTTGATTTAATTTTTTGAATAAAAAAATGTATCCTTATGACTAGAAAACAGAATATTGACATGTCCCTGCTTTAAATCTAAGAATCGGAGTCATCCCACAGAAGAGCAACCAGATCCAACAAGGTAGGATTCCAAGCACGGCTTCTGGGATATCAGCCATCAGGAAAACCCCTCCTGGGATTAGGTATTCAATAAAATGCCTCTCTAGAATTACCTCACCATAAATCACTATAACCCATCTGTTTTTACTGGGGGGTGGGGAGACCCTATACCATTAGGATGTGTATGAAAATTTCATAATAAAACTCTGCCTTCACCCCATCACAAGTTTATTAAAAATTCTTCTGCTCTTCAGTTTAAATGAAAGCACCTTTCCTTTTAGTCCTACTTGAAAAAGTCTATTCATTTGTTTCAAGGGGGGCGCTTCTGTGAAAGAGGGGCCAGTCACTGCTGTGTGTGACGGCTGGTAATGAGACTTAATGTCGAGACCACTTCACCACATCCAGCTGACCCTTGAGCTGCCAGCCACTTACAGGTGGATTTTCTTACAAAACAGACAACGGAAACTTAGGATATGGATAAATACAATGCCTCACTTTCTCTTCCTTATGATTTTCTTAATAACATTTTCTTTTCTGTAACTTTATTTTAAGAATGAGTATATAGTACATATAACACGCAAAATATATATTAATCCACTTTGTCATTGGTAAGGCTTCAGGTCAACAGCCAGGTGTTAGCAGTTTTTGGAGAGTCAACAGTTACATACAGATTTGACTTTGAGGGGGATTGGCATCCCGACAGCCGTGTTATTCAAAGGCCAATTATATACAAATATCAAATCATCATGTTGTACACCTGCAATGAATACGATGCTCAGAAATTTAGGTCTTGGGTCAGAGAACAGAATCAGAACTGCAACTTTGCAGTACAGTTGTTTACAGCATCAACTAGATCTCCATTTTTTTAATTAAAAAGGGGGGAAATCTTTCCAATTTAACATAGGTTAAATTTTCATGCTAATCAAAGTTGCTAAAATTAAAGCTTTAAATGTAGTGCTATTACAAATCATGCCCACTGGAATAAATTAGTCCATTCATTCATCGTCTCAATAACTCTTTTGCTTTTAAGTGGGGGACAAATTCTAGTAAACATGGCTAAACCCGAACTGACTTGGCAATTTAATCAGGGTAAAATTCTGAGTCAGTTTTTATTCATCACTTAGCACAGGGTTTACTGAGCGTTTACTATGTGTTGGCACTTAAAATCAGTACGAAAATACCACTACCAAGTAAATTTCAAATAAACTACCTGTAGTCAATCTACATACAGAATCCTTAAATCAGAACAATTTGCCTATCCCAGGTTAACTGGTACATTAAAATTTAATATTTTTAAGAATGCTTTAAAATAAAGTTTCTAAAAAGAAAGTAACTAAAAATATGGCAAAGTTCCACTAACTAAATATCACTTCCCTATGATCACAGATTTTAAAGGGGCCCCCAAAAGAACATGAAAATAGATTTTCCTATTTCCAGAAGGACTGTGCCCAAATTGATAAATACTAATAAAAAAAAAAGGCAAGTAAGTTGCAAAGAATAATTCATCTCAAGAAAATATTGTTCTAAGTGCCCATTTAACCTAGCTGGGATTCCAAGCACAGCAGCCACGCAGCCACGCCCACCACTGACGGGTCAGGAAGTGGTGCTTTAGAGTAAAATAAAAAATGTGTCTCCAGAAATGACAGATATGTCAAAGAAGTTACTTAGCTCAGGTCTTCTAACTGCTCAAAATAGCCATTAATTCCAACCGCACATCACTCTGCCCCTCACTGCTCACTCACCTGTGAGTTCTGCAAAAGCTGAGTCCATGAGCTTTATGGGAAATTTCTGAGCATCTTGTCTTATCCCCTCCTGCCCACCCTCTTCAGTGCAAAGGGTTTTATTTTATTTTATTATTTTATTTTATTTTATTACTAGGTTATTTAAGATTGGAATCTCATCCATCCACTCACGAGTGTCACTGATCAGGAGAGGCATTTGGCTACCTTAAGCCATAGCTCCTCCGGCCTTACCAGCCCTCACTGAGCTTCCTCACTTTGACATTCCCTGACACTGACACTCAGAGCCCTGGGCGGAACTCACATGGCCTCAGCCCCCATGGCCTCGGGCCTTCACAGTACATCTTATTGGTCAATTCTGGCAGGAGCTACTTTTCCTAAATGGGGGTGAGGGAGGCCAATATTCTTTTTCAAGAAACAGTCATATAAATTTCAGTAATGTTTCCAGTATCATATTAATTTTCTTTTCCTTCTGTTATGATCCAATAAAGTTGTGCTTCCCCCCCACCCCACCGTTTCACTCTTGGTGGGGCCTCCCGGGCCACAGGATCTAGAATGCAAGTATGCGACCAGCAGAGGTGGAAGAACAGAGGCCACCAACCACTCTGACCAGCTCTGGGGGAAATGCGGCCCAACAGAGGCCTGTCCACCCTAGAGCTGGTGGCCACAGGCAGCCGGGAAGGAGGCTGCTCCCTGTGCTGGTGTCTCTTGAGCATGTTTCTCATGGACTTGATGAGCTGGGCTGGGAGTGGTCTGAAGTGTTCACAGCTTCAGGGGATGTTTCTATGACCTGCAGAGGGCTGCCCCTCTGCTGGCCGAGCTTGTGCTACTGTACAGGGGGCCTGGGAGGTCAGGGATGCCTGGATCCTGGGTGAATCCTCGTACTGTTCTGTGATGACTTCGGGGCACCAAGGAAGAGCTTAAGGGGTCACTGCAGGAGAAATCAGGGAGACACTAGGCTGGTCTCCGTTCTCACCCCTGCTGGTAACTGTTCTCATCTGCGTTTACAGATTCATCTGAATCTAAAAATCTCCCAAATGTAATCTCCCCAAGAGTTTTTTTCGAGAATGGATTCTGCTGCTTTTTAAAAACCAGTGGTGAGTCAGGTATCAGGAAAGATGAAATACAGTCATTTGTAGCAAAATGGCAGGTGTTCAAGGAATGTGGTGTAGTGAAGCAAGTCAAAACGACAGAGACGAATACTGGACATTTACACAGTGGATGAACTGGCGGCCATCAACAAACCGAGCTCTGAGGTTAAGACGGGAGGAGAGGGAAGAAGGGAAAATGGGCCAGAAGGGATCGTGGGAGGGAAGGAAAGTTCTCAATGGAAGTGCAATGCAATAAATACTGCTCTGAAAAGAAAAAAGAACGAAAAGAAAGTGAAACCACTATTTCTAGTTTACCACACACTCACACATGACCCTCCTGCAAGTCACAGCTGACCTGAGAAGTCAATGTAGGAGGAAGAGGCAGCCGCTGCAGGGGCACCTTGGCTCACCTGCCAGGTAACCTGAGCAGACATGTGGACAGGCCACGCCTCCTGTCCCCTGTGTGCAGGTGGACAGCGCAAGAAGAACTTCATGAACATCCTCTCCTCTGAATAAGGTGAACACTTCCAACAATCTTACCTGTCATTGTTACCAGCAGCCCAGCACCCCCGGTAAGATATTCACCTGAGAGGAAGTCATGGGAACAGTTGAGAACAATGGTTCCTGGTTGTATCCAAGAAAGGGGAACCTCCTCCGGCTTGGCTGAGCCTAAGACGACAATGTCAGCCTCTTGAAGCTAGAAAGAAAAAGAACACAGGACACTGGTTTGCATCTTTGCAAGAAGACCTGTGTAACGATCCCTGTGTAGCGGCTTTATACTGCCGCCAGGACAGATCGCTGTTCTAGAACCTTCCACACATCATCACCAACAGGACATGACCATCTCATCCTAGAAAGGACACTTGCAAATGTCTTTAGAGCAGTCATTTCTGCATGTACAGGAGGTAGAATAATATAATTTACTTGTTTTTACCACTAACTGCAAAGTCAAGAAAAATGGAAAGAAAAAAAAAAAAAGAATTGCAATAGGGCTCGAGTGGCACCGAGAGAGGAAAATAGGGGGGCCTGCAGTGCAGCCCCTGGAAGATCTAGCCAGTGCAGGAGGCTGCCAGCCAGGATGCCACACAAGCCAGAATAGGACCATCAAGAACTTCTACTATGTCCATGGAAGGATTTTCAAGAATTTGAGAAACTCATTTCCTTGAGTAGCTGCTTACTCTCTTGTCAAGTTGCTGCTTTCCCCCCTGAGAACAAGGCCAAAATACAAACACTCCATCACATCCATCCTCTTTGTATTTTGATAACACAGTGCTAGAGTTAACTCCACGTGCAAGGTAGGAGGTTGGCTCTGCCCTCAACCCAAGAATGACTGCCCGTACTGGAACCAACTAAGCAATCGATGATCTCACACTGGACCCACAGGTAGAGGGAGATAGGCAAAGGAGGAATCCTCCAGCAGGGAAGGAATGCTATAATTGCTGGCTGCTGTAGATACTCCTACTGGCCATCCCAGGTGTGAGGGTGCTGTGACTATATCCAGCACAGACAAGCAAATGGGAACTTGCAGAGGTAAGGAGCTCTATGACAGGTCCTGCCTCCTTAGGGGGCCCCATCTTGGTCCTGCTTCCCTAGGGGGCTGAGACAGAGAAGCTACTGACTTCCATGCCTCACACTGATGGCTCTTGGCTCATGGTTACCCCACAGACCTCAAAGCCCTGCAATCTACTGTACTCTCTAGAATCAGACAGAGGCGTGAAGACCAACCACAGAAACACCCCACTGCCCCATGCAAGCACCCAGTGAAAGAACGTGTGCCAGGCTCCTCTTATGCTTTCAGCTGTCTGGGCCTGACTCCATGTACCTTGGGGGAGCAGCCGGCCCATGGTTCAACCTGGGGTTCATAACACCGGGCAAGAGGCTGCATCAGCTCCTGTCTTTTAGGAATCTTGGGACAAGACGTGGGAGTAAGGGAAGCAAATCCTTGACAGTCCTGCCTGGTACAGGAGCAAATAGCCAAAACCAGAGGCAGCTCTACGCTCCCCTGACATCGGAGGAGCCCAGTAACAGTTCAAAAGTCTGCCTTTCTAAGAGTCAAGTCACCATCAACGTCTTAGAAACATCTGATCGATCGATTAGCTCATGCAATCAGGGAAAACTGAGCTCCCATTCTTCAATGACTAGCCACTGTCAAAGGAAGTTCGGTGCTTCTGAGGGAAAGAACCGGGTGTACATATGTCCTGTCCAGGCACAGGAAGAAGAAACTGTGTCACTTTGAGAAGCTGCCCCAGTAAATGGACACCGTGAATCCCATTCGCTGCTCCAGGCCACTACTGAAAACGCTGGTGCCGGTATTAGCCAGCGACCCTCCAAATGACCAGCAGGGACGAAATGGCCTTTTGCTACACTCTCAAGCACAACTGCAGTAAAACCACATGTTAAAACACGAAGGAAGCTCATATGGACAAGGCTGCAATGTTCATTTTGGAAAAAGCCAAGGATCACAGGTTCACACAAGTCCCCCAAGCACACTCAGTTTCCACACGTGGTGTCTTGACACAACCTGTTCTTTTCATTACCTATAAATCTGGGAAATCTCACGCCCGCCCCTCGCTCCATCCCTAAATGCAACTCTAATAAGCAACTGGGGACAGCTGATCCCACAGAGAAAAGACAAAAATCTCTCTCAGCAACGATCCCAGCGTAGATTTTAATTCTTTCTGGAAAGGACAAGGGCTAGATGCCTCACTCAATAAATGACCCACTGAGGACAAGGAAAGATTTTAATGAGCTAAAGTTCAAGGAGAGTCACCATCTCACTGGCTGGCTGGACTTCTTCCTCCCACGTGGGAAAGACCCTGGCCAGAGATTGGCCTGAAACCTTAGCTCCTTACAAAATGCTGCCTTCTCTGCGGAGCCCCGCGTGGAAACAGCTAAGTGAATGTCCATGTCCAGGCGGAGGACGGAATGTGGAAACAATAGCAAGACAGACATGCAGCCAGCGAGCCTGGGTCACGAGCCAGCGCCCCTGGGTCCTACACCGCGAGAGCTATTGTTCTCCAAATCACTCATTTTTAAGGAGGGAGGGTCAAGTCAGAAAATGGAGAGAGGACATGTGACTTGCAGAGTTAGAAGGAACACAACAGTTTTTCACATGTCGTTAGAAAATAAAATGTTTGTTGAGATGTAAACTACAGTTAAGTAGAGTCCCGCTCTCTGGGCCAGAAGACAAAAAGTGTCTTCTGCTATCAAGAGGTTTTGAAAGGGTTTCTGACAATGCTGGGTATGAATCTATAAAAGCTGTGATGGGTTAAAAAAAAAAAGGTTGAAAAATATTTTTTGAAGAGCTGTGGTTTATTATGAGCTGAGTCCTATGACCACTGGGTTTCTATAGCCTCAAAGTATTAACACAGCTCAGAACACAAAGTGCAAAATGAAGAACGTTACTTTTTCCAGCAAAGACCCACTTTGAAAATCGCAGTAACTACAGAGAATAAGAGAGATCCAGGATTCCTTAGCGAATATACTCATTCACTTGCCATCTCTCAAGTGCCACCTGTCACGGGACAGACAGGGAGGTCACCAAGGATCCTAAAATAAAAATTCACGATGAAATCTTCCAGATGGTGGTGGTGGGGGATGGGCACAGGGCACACCACTGAGACATGAAGAAAAACTCCTAAACATTTGATTTTTAACTATTTTTCTCACCTAGGTCAAAAAGCAAACTTTACTAACATGTACCCTCGAGTGGGCAGCAGTCGCAAAATAAATGAGGGCCCGAGCGCGGGAGGTGGCCACCCTTGTTCTCGCTTCCTGTGTACTGGGGCAGGCTGTGGCGGAGCTGCCAGGAGGCTTGGTGGGTCAGAGAATGACCCACAGTAGGTCTTCACCTGGTGTGTAATACAGGGAGGCTCCCGGGCCACCCCGGGTCAAAGCCCTAGAGAGGTGTTTTTCTCTTTTTAGGAAATACTCAAAAAAACTGCCCCATTTCCATATGTCCCGCCTTTCCTTGGTAACTGACACGGGGCGGTGGGAAGGGGACCTTTGGTCGCCCTCCCTCCATCAGGTGTATGGGGAGATTCCTCCGCAGCTGGGTGGAGGGGTAACAGGGAACCGTGATACTGAAAACACAAAAGGAAGCATCTGAATGGAGATGGGCTGCCGAGGCCTGCAACTGGGGCTGGGCAGGGAGGGTGGAGCTGCAGGGTGGGCTGTGTCAGCTGATAGATGGAGCAAAACCAGAAAGAAGCTGGGATAAGCTTCCCTGGGGGACCAGGAACAGGGGTCTAAAGTGCGACCACAGGGAGCTCCAGTCTTAAACAGTTAGAGCAGATGTTGAGACCTGGTGTGGCCCAGAACCAGTCCTCAGCAGCTAAGGGGGAGGTGTGGACGGTCGGCTTGAAAGATGCCCAATGGGGCCTTCCTGGTGGTGCAGGCGGTTGAACGCAACACAGTGAAGCTGTCCGCAGCCTCTGCAGTGATAGTTCGATCCCTGGCAGGCCTCAGAGCAACCCACATGGCACGGCAGACCTCTCCTGTCTCGCCCGCTGCTCCCCTCAGCAGTGTATTTCAGTCAGTCTGCCTGTTCTGCTCCCTGCTCTGTCTCTGGTGAATCCTCTTACCCTCCTGCACATCTGGCCTGTACCCCGGTTCTTGTATAAATAAAATAAATCTTTAAAAAAAAAAAAAGGAAGATGCCCAATGGCCAAGCATAGTAAAAGCAAAAAAAAAAAAAAAAAAAAAGTCAACATTGTTTAAAAACGAACAATGATGTAAAATATATATAAATTAAAAAAAAGAAAAGCAAAAAACCCACTTTGGGCAGTTACTCACAAATTATTCTAACTTAGCAAGTCTAAATTACTTTTTAATCTGAATTAACTGACAACCACAGGATTATTACTTTGCCTCTGGGGATCAAATACCCACATTTTCCCAAAACATTTGCTAAATACTGGAGCATTACTATCAAACGCAAGCCATTAAAATAACCATGTAAACCTCTAGAAGAGGAATGTGCAGCCATTTTCGCCGGGATGTTGTAATACTTTGGCAAGATAAGAGAAAGAGTATGTCAGCGAGAGATACCGCCCCCCATTTCACGCACACCAAGTGAGCTCATTCTGGGGGAATCTTTTTCCTTTCAGGAACTGGGTGTGCTGCTTTTTTCCACTGTCATCTCTGATCAGTAGAACAGATTATTGGCTTCTAAAATTAAGACCTTTTGCATGGTTGCTTCATAAATCAGAGTGACTACAAGCCAAGTGGACACTGAGGGATTATGATTACGGCACTTATCTACCAAATTTCCCCCCCAAGGGATAATAAATGACCTTCCTTTTGCTAAACGTTCCTAAGTTCACCTCTTACTTCATCATTCAACTTATTTGCTGCTCCACATATGAGAAGAGAATGTCCAAGTGATTCAGTCCTGCTCCAAGTGACAGAAAAGAGAGTTAATCGCACTTGAAGTGAACTCGATGCTCAGATAAACTATAATAGATGAAAATCCAACCTCAGATCTAGTCACGGATGGATTTTGAATGATTCAAACATAATTCCCTTTCTTACACCCTGGGAAGAGAATTAAAAAGCAAAGGGGCAGAAAGGGGGAGCGGCAGAGAGGGAGCGTGTGTGCACCCCACATGTGCAGCCAGAGGCAATCCAACTGACAGACTCAGAATCACAAAGCAGAAAAATGAGGAAATGCCCAAGTTACAGCTCCCCATGCAGCGC